AATAACAAATTTCTTAATAAAGAGGATGAAACAGATCCTATAAAAGCCGAATGCTATTTTGTTCGTTTTTTAATTGAAATAATCTACCGCTTTCTGTTTTCGATCATTCCAAAGAGCTTTTCAAAGCAATTTCCGGAATTCTGCCAAGCAAAAATTTTAGCTGCGGTCCATACCAACTGCTGCTATTGTGAACGCTTGCAGAAAATACTGTTGCTGATATTATAAAATCAGTGTGCAGTACATCATTTTCTTAAGTACTGATGAAGAAGTAAGATAACAAACTTACCCATTGGTTATAACATACACAGTAAAGAAAAGGGAGTGATAATTACTTCATTGATTTCTATTTTAGAATGCACGAATAATACAGGAAAGGTATTTTAATTGTATAAATGAAAACTTTAAACAAAGGTTTAGAATGGAAAAATGCTTATCATTTTCTTCATATGCTAGTAGGAGGACGTTTTATCAAAATGCATCAACCAAGTATAATCACCCAGGTTGTCCTCCCCTCTTGCATATAGCTGCAAAAAAAGCTACTGAAAATTAATTGGCTCAGAAATTGAAATGTTGTTAATAGATATATATTTTTATCTGGAGAAAAGTTCGAAACGGAAGCATAGCTTCAAAGTTGCTCAACACATTTTGGGACATAATGGAAAATCTCATAAAATTCTGAAATACTGCAGTACGAGATATTGTCTCTTTGTAGAATTCTATAACAAGGATTTTGGAACATTGGGATGCTGTCATTAATTTTTTGGGGAGATCAACCAGATAACAGTGAGAATGAAAGAAAGAGATTGCAAAACATTAAAAAAAAATTTACAAGTCATCTACCACCAAACCATACTTGTTATTTTTGAAAAATACTTCATCTTTGTTTACAACAGTAAATATTAATTTGCAACAACCAAGCTCCTTATATACATAAATTGAGAAGAGAACTTCTTGAACTTTTAATGAATTTGTTAGATTCCGTAAAACTATCGGTAATTTCTAAAGAAAATGAAAGTGTTACTCTAACATCTATTCCATTTCAAAAGTGTAGTAAACAAAATGAAAATTTAGTGATTGGTGCAGAAACAAGATTATACTTAAAAAAAGCCGAGTTGAACAAAGGTGAAGTGAAATTGCTTTTTCAATTCTGTGCGAGCTTTTTTGTAACTGTATGTTAATATACAATAGATAAATTTCCACTAAGTGATCCATTTCTAAAACATGCTGAAGTTGCTGACATCAACTTGAGAACTGAAGTCTCATTTTCATCTGTTCTTTACTTGATGAATACTTTTCCATCATTATTGATAAAATGTCTTAATCAAGTAGAATTGAATTTTCCATGTATCAAGTAGATGATTTGAAAGAAATTGTAGATTTGCGTATTGATATAGCATGGGGAGAAATTGCCAAATTAAAAAATATGAATGGGTGTATTAATACAAAGTATTGCCTTCTGTAATGCTTGCTGTCTTAATAATACCTCATTCAATGCAGCTTGCGAAAGAATTTTTTCTATTGTTAAAAAAAATCAGACGGAATTTCGACCAAATTTAGGTCTTAAAACTCTTGAAGCAGTTTTGATTGAAAAAATAAATATGCAGGCAAATGAAGAACTGTGTTATAAAAAAACATTCTCAAAATCAGAACTTAAGCTTGCTAAGCATGCTACATATAATCTTTGCATTCATAAATTATGCGTATTTTGTTTAATACTTATATGTATCATTCTTGGTTATTTAATTTATTTCCCTGTAGAAATCATATCCAATAAAGATATGATTTTATAGCTTCTGATTTTTCTATGATTAGTAGTGATTTGAAGTACTTTTTATTAGTGGAATGCTTGAGGAGTTAAAAGAAAATTTCTAATTAAATGTGCATATAATTTAAAGGTTATTTTTAATTATTCAGTTTTTATTGTATATGGATTTTAAATGTAATAAAATTGATTACATTAATTATTAATTTAAAATTAATGAATGGTTAATTACAGCATACGCTACGCGCACATTTTCAAAGTTGTAAAAATGTCGTTCGCGCGTTGACTACTGACAAGGTTTGCTGAAGGTTGGAGTCTATGAAGAAACTGACTAACTAAATTTGCATGTATGTATGTTCCTCGCACTGTGAAGAAACAACAGTACATATGGATATCTAATTTTGAATAACATGGTCCTCCACCCACAAATGTGCACCTAGATGCTGGAATTTAAAATTTCATATTTTGTAAAAATTTAATGAATTTTGATTAAGAAATTCAATGATTTGAAAGCAACCGGTGGCAACACTATGGATTAAAACATTTTTATCTCCAGCACGTGAGACTGTCTATCAGAAATTCTAACGATATGTTGTTTTTATATAGCGACTTTGCTGTTTAATTGAATAGTATGTGGGATATGAGCAAGAAATATCATATTTAATTGACAAATTTAATACACAAAAGGTTAATAATAAAAAGACAGGAAAAAATTTCAGCAAGCTATCTTCCTAAAACTGGATACTGGTATGATGAACTATGAAAAGATTGGGAAAAATATGAAAATATATGACAACACTTAACACTTCATTGGGAATTATAAACATATGCTTTTTAAATTTTTACAATTTTGTTGTTGAATTGTATATGGCATAAGTGGGAAGAAAATTATGCTTAACAAAAAGCTAAAAAGACAAAAAGAAATAGATTAGCAGGAGTAAGTGCCAGAGAAGACTGGGAGACTGTGAGCTTGGCGAGATCATAAAAAACCTTAGCGAACCCTTTTGGTCATTGTTAAAATCTGAATCCTTTCTGATTTTGCTTTTTATTTATTTATTTTTTATGTTTTTATATATTTTGATTCCTTAAAGGTCATAAATGCTTCATTATTTCATAAATAACTATCATATATTTCCATGTATAAGCTGAGAATTTGCGGGAACATTCTCTGAACCTAAATTATGAGGTCAGCTTATATACAGATTCACTAATGTCGCAAAAAACATAATTTTTTCCCGTTAGCTGGACACAAGCCAATATTATTGCCCATTTTTGTTTCTTAATTTTTATGAAAACAATTTAATTTAAATGAAAGGAGTTAATCGTTTTATAAGAGTGGGTTGTTATGTTTTGTAAATCGCTTATGAAGCTGTTTTGTTATATCATAAGCAAAATGAAAAATCTGCTAGTGATATTTGTGGTGGCTATTTAGACATTCTCAAACTTGTTTTTCAGTAATGAAGGAATGCCGTTAAGTTAGTTTTGTTAAAATTTTCAGCAAACATGATAATCTGTAATTTGAAATTTGCCATATAAGAACTTCTTTTCCCATTCATCTTTAGACAAAAATGGCATAGAAAATAAGTAGTAGTAGCTCAGATATTACAGATTGTATGCAAGACAGGAAAAAAATGGAATAAATATGCTAACTTAAAGAAGTAACTTAAACAGCTTACATTGAAAGAAATGTTTAATAAAGTAAACAAATAAATATTAAGCTTTCTTTTGTAAATTTTGATACCCTTTAGATCATAATTGCTCTTTATTTCATAAATTACGATTTCATATTTTTAATTGTATAATTTCTGCATGCAATCTTACCAGATTTAAATTGATGATCTATAATCCGGAAAAACCCCTAATCTGGAATCGCCCAACGAGTCCAGATTAGGGGTTTTGTATTGTATATATTTAAAGAAGCTCTTTCTGGAAATTTACTGCTAAATTGTCCTCTTAACTGTAGAGCTATTAATGTTGTATGTGTCAAACAAATATCATTAAAAATATATGTTTTTAATCAATTCAGCTTTGCATGTAATTCATTCTGTTTATTCCAGGTTGTAGAGAAATTATTTGCTTAATGTTCATGAATGGATTTATTATAATCAAATATAGTTAATACAGTCAAAAGTCTTTAATCCGGACTCTTCGGGACTTCCGCGGTTTCGGATTATCGATTTTTCCGGATTAAAGATCATCAGTTTAAATCTGGTAAGATGGCATGCAGAAATTATAAAATTAAAAATATGAAACCATAAGTTATGAAATAAAAACCAATTATGATCTAAAGGGTATCAAAATTTACAAAAAAAAAAAGCTTAATATTTATTTGTTTACTTTATTAAACGTTTCTTTTAACATGCGCATGCGTAAAGCATACATTATGCATAGTCGAAATTAGAAAATTGCAACCAGAAAACTATTTGATGTGTACTCATGATATTTATAATGACGAGGAATTTGATTTAAATCATATCAAAGATGGAATACGTCGAAATGAAATACTACATTTAGTAAGGAATTATAAGCTGAATAAAATAAAAACATCTGCCCTGAAGATAAGGATAGTGCTGACAGATCAACTTCCAGTTCATTGTGCACCGCGACATCCTCCCGTGCAGAGCAGTGTGAAATTGATAAACAGATTTTGGAATGGTTAGAGAAACAAAGAATATGCCTTTATCCATTTTTTGCAGCAATTCCACTTTCTGTTTGATGGACATCGAAACATACCTTCGCTTTGTAGATCCTTTGGCAGCTCCAGCATCGGAAATTGTTTTTGACATAATGGAAAGTTCAAGCTTACTTTTATAAAATTGCTCTAACAGTCTGCAAAAAGTAATAAGCCAAATCCAATTCGAAGATTAAGGAACAACGCAATCTGCAACATTAACTGAAATCGATAATTTTAGCTTAGCTTATACGGTCTGTTATACATTAAACGTGCGCGCTTGCGTAAAAGTATTATGCGCGCACGTATTGCATTGACGCCATGCGCAGAAAGTTTGTAGCTTTGAGGTCTGGATTATGGGTGTCCGGATTAACGACTTTTGACTGTAATGGTAATGTTTGTTATAATCAAATATCAAATGTTATAATCAAGTTAATTTCACGTTTAATGCATTAAATAATTAAATTTTTAATTCTGTATTTTCTGTAGAAGTTTTCATTTAACTGTTCAGTTTCCTTTGTTAATACCCAGTGGCTATATTACTTTTGTGTCATGTTTTTGCTTCAGAATTCATCCTATGAAAGCATTATTCAGAGAGATATTTACAGAACCTTTCCTGCTCATGAGTTATTTGTTGACCAAAATGGTGCTGGCCAAGAATCATTATTTAAAATATGCAAGGTAATTTAATTTTATGTTTGAAAATTTTTGCCTTATATTTTTACTCTGTGAATTTAAAATTGGTAAATTATGCAAGTCATTTGATGTCATTATGCAAGTCATTGAGTCAAATTTGTGTTAAATTAGTATATGCAAGCTAGTAAGATGGGTAAGTTACATGAGAATTTCTCTATATCCATTATATGTAATGTAGAAAGAACCAGTTTCTGTGAAATAATCTTCCCCTAAGTATTCTTCCCACAGAATATCTTTATATCTTGCTGAAATAAATTAACTATCAATTTAGTTTGGACTTTGGTTATAATCTATCAGTTATAATCATTGCTTGTAACCATAATAAACATCATGTTTGGATTTTCTGTTCAGTAATTGCTGGAAATTGCTGCCATCTTTCTCAATCCAAGCATTTGATATGTTCATGCTGCATCTTGTATTATTTTCAAAGTTTGCGTAGTGTAATCTACATTTGAGACAGTTTCCTTTAGAAAATCTTTCATAAAGGCAAAAAAACCTTTGTATGCTTTGCTGTAGGATAATTTTCAAAGTGATTTTTAACTTTGTCAGTAGTCAAGGTTTATATTTGCAACTAATTTCTTTAAAATAACACCATGAGAAAATGTCTCTGAAGTCTCATTTATAAAAATGGCAAATCTTTATTATAAATGCTTTCAGATATAGCTTTGAAATCCTGTGCTGATGTTGATCCACGGAGCGCAAGTTAAATACTAATTGGATGGAATGATCAGATTTTATTTCTGGCAAGAGATTGGGACCTGTACCTTGATTGGTATTTCTAAACAATTTTGCATTTCAGAACCCTTGAAATAACATTCATATCTCAGAATACACATCCTTAAATATTATGTCTTAGGCATGCATTTGCATATGATTCATAAGTCATATGATTATTATGGTTAAGTATTTATTACGAGGGTTGCTCAAATGTTTAAGATACAGCTGAGTGGTACAGATTAAACTTTCCAAATATTAGGCATGTTCAGAGTAGTTCCTTCTAGTATCAATGCATTTTTATAGGTGAAGTGTCCAAAGATGCTTCAAGCCATCCATTTCTTGGAGTCGTTGAAAAATATGTTTTTATAGCATCATTAGTCTTATCTTCAGAATGAAAACGATGACTACATAAATTTTGTTTTAGATTAAAAAATAGTCAGAAATCATGCACAGCAAGATCAGGGAATAGTGTGGATATTCTATCACTTTAATGTGTTTTTGTTCCAGAAATTCAGTTGTCAATCTTGCTGAATGAAATGATGCATTATCATGGTTAAACATGGGTCCCCTAATTTTCACTTCTTAAGGAACGTCTGGAAGACACTTAGTGATGAACCAGTTAGCTGTAACTGTCATTTGTCCCACTAACTTGATGGTTTTAAACAGACCTTTATTTTTAAAGGAAACGTCATGTATTTTTATCATTGCTTGTTATCTCTTCACCATTATTGATTTGGGGGCATAATCAAAGATTCATACCTTACTTTCTTGATGTGATGGGGTGTTGAAAAAGATATATATGTTTCATCACCAATTATGATTTTAGAAGTGAGCCGAATGTAGTATGCACCATCATTAAGAAATTTTGTAGTTTTTTTCCCTATTCAGGCATGCTTCTTGTTTTGGTTCTCCGTTAATTTTTGAGATACCTAATGACAAACTTGATTTTTTCATATGCAGTTCTTTACAAATAGTTTTATTTGCAGCTGTATTTTCAATGTTAAGTTTCTTTTGTATCATATATTAGATACAGTGCTTATAATTTATCACCATTTTTTTGAATGATTGATATATTTTCTAGAATTATAGTGACAAAGGTCTTCATCCTGGAGAAGAGTGTTCTTCATCCTAGAGAAAATTTGAACATCTACAAAATTTTGTAAACCACCTAAATGCAGGTGGCACAAGATGGAGCTTTATTTCTATGTGCTTATTGTAGAAGTTGAAGGCATACTTCTTGATTTAGCCCCTCTTTAAAATCATAGCATGATACTGCTCTTGCTTCAACTCCACTCTCCTTTCTTTCAAAATTTATTTTATGATAGATAAATTGCTGTTGTTGCTATAAATTATTTTCTGTGGACATAGAATTCAAGTTTAGACATCTAACAAATAATGTCCTTTTAGTGCATATTGTCTGTCTGTCTTGAAAATTTTGAACCTACGCACATAAAAAAATGAGATAAAATATTCTAGCTTGCATGCTGAAAGTACATTTAAACAGAAGTAAATGTAGGACTTTTTGCAGACAATTTTTCTGCTTCATCAACTAGAGTTGGAATGGATCCATTCCAGCTGCATGTTGACTACAAAACTTCTACTTATGTTCAAACAGGGTTTCACTCTATCAGGCTAGAATATTTTATATCATTTTTCGCTTGTGCATGTGAGTTAATTATCAAAAAGTTCATCAGAACACTAGAAAGCTGAAGGTGGTCTTTATTTGAAAAAAATGCTGATTCAGATATTTCATATTTTATTGAATGTGAGTCACTGGGTTGTATTTTGTATGGGGTGCTCTATATGTCACAAATATTTAATAGTTATGAAATGAATTATGAATTTTAATGTTTATGAAATGAAATACCATTATAAAAATAATGGTAGAATCGTATTTGTAGACAAATATACTGATTATATTGACTGACAAATATTGTTTGCAATCTTTTCCATTAAAAAAGTATTGCTTATTGCTGAACTCTAAATAGTATATAAGAAAAATAAGGGAATTTGTTTTCATAAATTCTATTGTCAAATATTAAATTCATGTGTTATATAAATAGTAAGAGTAATTTTTAACTATTTTACAGGCTTATTCTATTTATGATCCAGAAGTGGGATATTGCCAAGGTCTGTCATTTTTAGTTGCTGCATTGCTGTTACATGTAAGTTTATTTCAGGAAATGTAATTATGTCAGCTATTTTAATGTTTTACTTATAAAATTATGATCCATTTCAAAGGTAATTTTCTTATAAATATTGACTGTAACATGTAATTTCATTCCATATTAATTAATCTCTATCTGTGTATGCCTTACTTATTCTAAAAATATGTAAAGTTTGTTACATTTTCGTTTTAGTAAACAAGCAGGTTTTCAACTACTAAAAAGGTTATGTCATATTAATTTTTGTTTAAATTAAATCTTGTGTTGCATAAGTGATAGCATACATGTAGGTGGATCCCCCCCCCCAAAAAAAAATTATTCCAGTAAAATCTTCCAGTAGGTAATACTTGCCCATCATTTATATTTTTCTAAATTACTTTCTATTTACAACATTTATTATTTTAAAGCTTTCACTTTTTAACCAAAGTGCATATTATTGTGTTTAAAGACTTGCTAAAGAGATTTTGTGGTGATTTACAGTGTTTAATGGTGAAGTTCTAGGACTACTTCTGTTATTCTGTTAACATCAATCACAAAAATATGTTGCATATGTGAATTTCTACTATTAACTTCCTTTCTTGCAAGACATTTAAAATTTGGGAAAATGAATATTTGTCCAGTTCTGACGATCAATAATCAAAAGCGGAATTGTTTTTGTTGTCAACTGAACAGAGAGTAAAATCAGATTTTTCTCATGAGTTGGGGAATCAGCAGTAACAACTTGTAAAATGATCAAAACAATTTATTGAGACAGTGTCGTATCTTGTGTGCTTGAAAGGAGGACATTTATTATTCACCTTGATACAATTCGTAGCCTGTTCCAAAGGTAAATTTTACAACCACTTCCCAGATTTTCTTAAACCGTCTTTTCTCTGTTTCACAAGCTGGGCAGCTGATGATGAGAAATTATATTTATGAATGTTGAGAGTATTAAAAAAGGGTGAAGGGACCATCAAGAATGGCCACTGAATTTAACAGTATTCCAATAAACAATTTCAAAATCCATTTTGAATATGTAGTAGAAGTAGAATGAATAAATTTGTTCGTGAAAAATGAGATGGATTATTTTACATATTCATGACTATAGTTTACTATAGTCACATTTTTATTGTCAATAATTACTATAGTTGGCAATAATGACTAAATGACTATAGTTGGTAACATTTTATTGTCATACCTATTATGTGCTCCTAATAATATTAGTTCTCAACTCTTTAAAATTTTCTTTATATATGCATGGGTATTTGGATTCTTCTCAAACATACTATTGATATAAATCAGTTTCTTTTAAGAATGCCCTCATGTAAAGTAGCTCTACCAAGGCAGATAATATTGTTTTACTTTAACAAATTGCATAAGTGCTTGTGTTCTGAATAACCCATGCTAAATTAAGATTAAAGAAATGCAGTATACGAATTACGAATGACTATACGAAGAACTATACTTACGAATGAATAGTATGCTTTTGAATGATTATTAGAACTGTAGAATGATTTTTAGATGTTTATATTGGTGTTTAACTATATGTACACTGTGTATGCAGTCTGCATGATGAGGGTGAATATAGGTCATTATGAAATATTGGGGAAGATATAGCAATTAGTTCAGAATGTCGTATTTTTAATTTAGTCATGGAATTTTTTAATGCAAGAAGTGTAGTCTCTATTATTATTAAAAAAATTTCATTAATTTTATTTATTATTATTTTTTTCATATATTTCAGATGCCTGAAGAGCAGGCTTATGGTGTTTTAATGAAAATCATGTTTGATTACCACATTCGTGACATGTTTAGAAATGGATTTGAAGAACTTCATCTCAAATTTTTTCAGCTTCAGAAATTAATGGAGGTATATTATATTCTTTATAATTTAGCAGAAATGAATATGCATTTAATTTTGTAAAAATATTATATTTCTTAGCTACTATTCAATATTCATTTAGTAAGTATCAAATTATCATGGCTGTCATCCTTTATTTCTCTGATGCTTTAATTAAAAATATTAAAATACTAAGATACATACATCTAATTCATTTTTGGTGTTCACATATTAATAAAATATTTTAGAAGTGGCTGTCTCTTTATTTTTTTATGCTTTAATTTCCTTTTCATTTATTCTAAAGTTATTTTATTTAAAAAAAAAAATTAAATGAGATTTTTGTTTCAGTTCATTAAACTGTTCGTTTTTAATTTAGTTCTTATTTGTAGTTTGGTATCAGTATTCGTTTTTTAAATAAATTATTAAAAATTAAGTTATTCCTGAAGTTATAAACCTATCTTTAAAGTTTGGGCAGAGAATTTTCATTGTATATTGCATTATATTGTAATATAAGATTTTATGTAATTTTTATGTGAAAATGTGTGAAAATTTTTATGTGAAAATGTGTAATTTTTATGTGAAAAATTCACCATTGTTTTAACATGATAATGTTCTGAGTGAATAAACAAGTTAGAAAGCAAAGTAGGAGGAAATTTGTGGCTTTCATGAGATAGTGTATTTTTAGAATTATTTTGTGAAAATATCCTAAAATATTTTCAGATATTTTAAATAAAGATTCATTTATTCCATAAAAGTGCTTATCTAAAATTATCAAAATTGTTTAAAAATTATACTTTGTTGTGCAGTTATTATTCAGATTATGCAGTAATGTGTTTCTTCTTTATGGCATTTAAAAGATATATTTCATTTAAAATGAACAGTAATCTATTTAAGAATCTAGAAATTTGTACCAAAAGAGATTAAAATTCAGGTTTAAAATTAGGTTCAGTTGAGGTTTAAAATTATTTACAGAAATACAACATGTGGATGTAGCATGCATCTTTTTATGACTTTTAAAATACTTTTAGAAAGTGTGTTATGTAATGTTCTAAATATATTTGCACTATATTTAGAACTATATTGAGTTAAATTATAACATAAATACATTTTACATAGCTCCATATAATAAGTTACAATTTTAATAAAATTATCATGATTAATTTTATTTAAATAATTAATAGTAAATATTCATTGAAATCTTTTTTTTAAGGATCAAATGCCAGAACTGGCTTCTCATTTTGATGACCTTGGAATTGAAGTTCATATGTTTGCTTCACAATGGTTTTTAACACTTTTTACTGCTAAATTTCCATTGGTAGTTGTGTTTTTCATCATAGATTTGTTTTTGCTTGAGGTATGTGAAAAGCTGAAGTAATTCTAAAACTACTTCAATTAAAAAACTGTCCATTGTTTATTGAATGAATTGAAATGCTCCCCTTTATTAAATGTAATTTCATCTTAAGTAATTATTATCTGCATTATAATTATTTAATTAAAATTTTTTTTATTCATTTTTGAATTACTTGATTTCATTGTAATTCATTTATCTTCCAGGCTTTATTTTATTTTTAATTAATGTATTTTCAAATTATTTAAAATTTTCTGTATTTATTGCATTTGTGATTTTTCACAGTTATCTTGCACTTAAGGAGAAGGGATGATCTGTGTGCAGTTAGTCTCCATAGCAATTACATATTATTAAGTTTACAAATAAGTCATGATTTTTTTTTTTTTTTTAACTTTGAAGCTTTATTCAGAGAAATTGGAAGAATGTATTTTATTCAAAGTATTGTCCATCGTTAGCTATGACTCTTCCCCATCTTTTGGGTAGAATATGGATTCCGTGTTTATAAAATTCCTTGTCTTTTGAGGCGATCCAAGACCCGACCCAATTCTTAGCTCTTCACATGAAGTGAAGTGCTGCTCAGCCAAGTCGTGAGTCATTGACCGGAACAAGTGGAAGTCAGAAGGAGCAATGTTTGGTGAATATGGTGGGTGGGGTAGGACATCCCATTGAAGTGCCTACAAAGGTCTTTTGATGACTTTTGCAGCATGTGGGCAAGTGTTGTCATGCTGAAAGATCACTTTATCATGTCTTTTGGAATATGGGGGGCATTTGAGCTTCAATACTTGGCTCAGTTGCATCAGCTGCTGTTTGTAACGTTCCCCAGGGATGGTTTCATTTAGCTCATAATAGATCACTCCCAGCTGATCCCACCAGATGCATTGCATAAGCTTCTTGCCATGAATATTCAGTTTGACCATTGCAGTTGATGCATGGCCGGGCTTAGCTCACGATTTTCTGTGCTTTGGAGTATCATAGTAGATCAATTTTTCGTCTTCCCATAACGATTCAATGTGAAAACCCCTTCCGATTTTGCCTGTGGAGCAGTAGTTCGCACATGGAAAAATGGTGTTCGACGGGACTTGGCTTGAGTTCATACAGAACCCAATTTTCTTGTTTTTGCACCTTACCCTTGGCCTTGAGACCCTTTGAAATCACTTGTTGAGTCACTCTTATGGCAAGCTCCTCTTGAGTTTGGCATGAATCTTGGTCCAATAACCCCTCTAACTTAGCGTCTTCAAACTTTACTAATCACATGTTTTTATTGATGGAGCATGTTCCCCATATGCTTTGCACAGCAATCGATGTCCATCATCAGCACTTTTCTTCAAATTAAAACAAAAAAGAAGCACTTCCTGCAAATTTTGTTTTGTTGGTACAAAGGTTGACATGGGTTGAGCACAAAGAAAGTCTGTAGTTTGTATTTCAGCAAAATGAAACAGACTGATTTAGATGGAAATTCTGGCTCTTTAACATGAATACGATACAAGATTGTACGATAGAATTTAACATGAATACGATACAAGATTGTACGATAGAATTTAACATGAATACGATACAAGATTGTACGATAGAATTTAAGACTAGTAACACCATCTTATGTAAATCTCTCAAAACTTATTTGTACACCCAATAAAATTTTAAACCATTTTTTATATTTTTTAAAACAATATAATTCTATGAAACCATAGTTTTAATATAATTTTTCTTTAAGCTCTTGAATTTATATTGTTACTGTCATAAAATTTTAATTGTATTTAATAGCTCATATTTACTGCAACTAAGAATTTTATATGTTTATTTAAATCAAGTAAATTTTATTGCTTGAGAATAATAATGTATTAAATTGAGCCAAATGTGAAGTGTTCTTGTATTTTTAAAAGTGGTACATGTGGAAAAAATCTGGTGGATACACGTTCCAGACTCAAATGCCCAAGCTTAATATATTGAAGGCGTTTTCTATATGAGCAACGATCTAATAATCTAAATGGTGTTTCTTCAAATAAAACTTGGTACATAAACATTGTTGTGATATAAAAAATTATGCAACAATTAATAAATATCTATCTTTAAAAATGTTGAGCCATATATGATTTTCAGAAGGAAGGGCATTTTTAAGTTTAATATATCATTTTTATATTTAGATTGATAGTGTAATACAGAAGTAGTCAACCTTCTTATAACTTCCGCTCTCTTTGTAGGCAGTAAAATTTCTATGCCGCTCATTCACAGTAACTTCATACAGCACAACTGCAAAAATGTTTTTAAGTGGAGGTTTAGTAAGAATTATATGGTTACATTTATGCATTTATTTATTTATACCATAATTTACAATATTAAACTCTTAATAGACTGAAAATTCATTAACAGACAGCAAAGCCATATAAATATATGGAACTAGGAGAGCATTGCGTGAAGGGTGATGGTGAAATAGAAAATTAAACTTTAAGGGGTGTGTTGTGTTCCGATCTTCATTGATCCTTTATTGGACAAAAACCTCCACCTCCCACATGAAAGCATTAGCCCACTAGTGGGCAGTAGGGACCAGGTTCTCTATCCCTGGAGTAATATATAAAATTATATTAATTTAATTTATGTTAAAATTTTTAATAAAAAAGTTAGATCAGTAAATAATAAAAATGCATCAAAAGTATATCAGTGATGTGCAGACATGACTTTGTGCCATTTTCTCTCATTTTATTTGTTGAATAAGTGTCCTTTTTTTACATTGCAGTAAATTGCAACAAATAGTTCTGAATCTTTAGTGTTGAAAATTGTGATTTATGTGTCGTTTGGGATTTGATTTATTTTTCTAAATTTTATTAGTTTAGAATTTCATAGAATTGTTTTCAATAATTTCAATTGTAAAAATTTTTGTGCATGAATAATAAGAAACAGGGAAAAATGCATTAAATGATATTATCAGTACCATTTAAAAATTATTCTAAATTTGTTTTATTTTAAAAAACTTTGATAAACTGAATTTAAGAATTATTTTGTATACTTTTTATTTATTTTTATTTATTTATTTTTCTTGTGTGTATCCAAAATGTTAAAATTTCAAACTATGTTATTGTGTAACAACAGCTGTCTTATCAGAAAGTTTCTTCCTTCACTATCACTTAGTAACTGATTTTTTTTTTTTTTTTTTTTTTTTTTTTTATGAAAACGAATTTAAATTACGCATAAACTGATAAATTCTCACAACATTTTTCAGTTTTAATGTTTTTAGTGATTAAAAATTGGTAAAATAGCAGAATTTTTTGTTAAAATTGAATATAATAAAAATAACTGCTGTGAGATCTATCATAGCAAATTTTTGTTGTATCATATGGGTAAATTTTATAACTTAACCAAAAGTACTTTTAATAAGCAGAATTTAATTAAAGTATTTGTGTTATGTTTTATATTATCTGTGTGGAAAAAATATTAATAGAAATAAAGCAATGTAATGTTATTTTTAAAACTGTTTTCAGTTTTCTAGTATGTCATTAATTCTCGAACATAGATATTTTTTCCTTTGTTATTTTGCATTAAACACATCTTATTTAGCTTAGACAAACATGTTTTCTTTATTGTAAATTCACTTTAATGTCAGTGTCTTATGAATTTAATCTGTGTTCTATTTGATAAGAATAATAAGAACCAAATGAACTTTACTCTTTACATTTGAAATTAATATGCGAGTTTTAATTCATGTTTTAGTAATACATTTATAAATCAGTGACCAGTTTTGTAAGAAATTGAGTATATTTTAGTCAGAAGCTGGTTGTCATATAATTTTTCTTTAAAGGTTTTTTGTTGCTGTGATTCTCAGTCATCTTACATTCTTAAATTTTATCTTAATTTTTCTGCCAGGGCATGGATGTAATTTTTCAAGTGGCTGTGTCTTTGCTAATGGTAAGTGCATATTTGTTCTTGTTAAATAGCATGAACTGAAACTAGAACACTTTCATTAAAGGAAAAACAGCCAAAATATCTACAAGTCCAGTGCACCAGTGATAACAGTCTTACACTGTGAACTATGCCAAAAATTGTGATTCGTAGTATTTTGATATAGATAATATTTTTCACACAAGAGTTTGACAGAGCCAAAAAGGATTTTATGATTTGGCTACTGCTAAATATGAGAAGGCTCCCATTAAATGCCTTCAAGGAAAAGGAATTATCCATAATGAAAGACTTTAAGTACAAGATTAAGTTATGTTTGAGTTTTAATGCAGTACTGAAATAGTGATCATGCCAAGGGGGGGGAATTCACTGCAAACCAAAGAGGAGTGTGATGGAATTATTCAGTTCCTAAACTAATATTTTTCTGAATATTCACATGCAGTTATATTTTCCAGCTGCAGTTCATTTTGAATGCATTGTTAGAGTTGCCATTACTATTTCTGATTGCAATTCATGCTTGTGTATTTGGTTCTGACTGCTGTCCCATTAACCTAAATACCACAAACCCTTATTCATATTCTGTGCTTGAGTTTAAATTTAATGATTACACAAACTAAAGAAGGATTCTACAGGCATTTCCACTGTGAGAATAATGTTGAAGTATTTATCTCAGCAGAGTTTTTTTTTTTTTTTTTTTTTTTTTTTTTTTTGGTGCTTAAAATATGATTTATTTAGAATAGAATTTATGTAAGTTTATTCTTAAAATATGATGTATGGAGAATAGAATTCTTCTTTGTATTTTGAAAGCAGTTTTAAGCATTTTACATACATATATAAGTAACTTGCTGGAAATATCAAATGAAATTTATTATTTATTTAAAAATTTTTATGGGAAAGAAAGGAAAATTGCATTTGAATAATATTCATATTCTATAGCACTGTGTTATCATTTGAGTGTAAAATTTCACAGTATATTGCACAGTTGAAGATCTGACTAGATATTTATATGGTTAACAAGTAATTATTTTCTCAATTTGAAAGCACTGGAATGTATTAGATTAAATAATGATTTTTTTTACTGTTTTTTCTCAGAATAAGAAACGTTAATAAAATTCTTTATAGTAGATTAAATGCTACACAATTACAGATTTTTTTTTAACCAGCTTAGTGTTTAATAATACCCAAGAATGCATCAAATAAAAATAGAATATTCCAGTCATATAAAATGCATGTTGAACAGTTATTTACATTGTTAGTGTTTAATGGAATATCATTGGTAATTTCTAAAAGTGATAATAATATGCATGGCTAAATGCTTTCTTTAGCAACTCAGTGATGAATAACATGATTGTTATGTAGTAACAAACATTATACTTTTCTTTAAAAAGAGTATTTTATGCCCCTTTTTTAATGCAAGCTGTTGGTAGATTTTTATAGCTAATTCTAAGGGACATCTTGTATATTTTATGCACTGATCGTAGGATTTCAAGCTGCTGTTTCTGTAATATCTTTTTCTTTGGAATAGCCGTTGTTATCTTTAATCATAATTAAGCTGAAAATCTTATCTTTAGTCAGTTTGAAAGCCATCACATTGTGTTCACCCTTTGCCATTCAAGAATGAAGATTGTTTTTGTCCATATTTAGAGATTTCCACTTTTTCATAAAAATAAGATGTCATCATTTTCTTTTAAATATATTTTGAATTTTTTTCATTCTGATTTTGTTTTCCATTCTGATTTTGTTATGGTTAAAATGTGCAAAATATCTAAGAAGTGCATTTTCTTTTGCTAGTGTACTTTTTCTTACCTGTTTTACCCAGTATGGTAATTTTTTTTTTCCTTTATGCATTGTTGAGGCATTAGCACTTGCATTATTACAAATATTAATATGAACCAAAGTTTTAAAATTAATTCAAATCTCCCATCTTTTTCACATCCTTACTTCTGCAATCTGAGTTTTTAAACTTATACCGATTATTGAACAATTATTATTTATAATAAACAATGGTGTAATTTAATTTTGGTTGTAGAATTGAATTGTATTTCTCTAATCTAATAACATTATGTAAGTGATATCAATAGCTGTTATCATTTTAGATGCTTTATATAGAAACAATGGAGTTAAATTCTTTTTTAACGTGTAATATTATCATATTCAAGATTGTAAAATTGTTAAGACAATTTGTCCTGAGTTTTCTTTTCACTTTACCTCTATAAAATTTTATTATATTTTGCTTGTGTAAATAAAAGTAAATATTGAATGTATCTCACAGTTTGAGTTTTTTAATGTACTTTTTTCTTTTCTTTTTAAGTTAATTAGATTTTATATCTTTAAAAGTTTCTAATATCTTCTTTCACAGCTATCTCAAAAAGAATTATTAGCTTTAGATTTTGAGGGTGTCTTAAAGCATTTTCGAGTGTCTTTACCAAAGAAATACAGAACAGAAGAAGCTTCCAAAATCTTGATTCAGAATGCGAAGAAAGTTAAAGTGAGTTCTTTTATAATTTTCATACATACTTGAGTTATATGACCAGTTTGTTTAAAAGTTTGGATTTTTTTAATGAATTTTAGTGTAATTTTGACTTGAAACATTCTAAAAATCTGATATATTAGTATATTTCTAATTACTTTTGAGAATTTTTATTGAAGTTTATTGGCTATTTGAATTCGACTAGATTTGAGAGCTTGAATCTTCATGCTTTTTTTTCATCATTCAAATCTTTCAGATCTTTAATTATTATTAAATATTTAAATTCAGACATTTGGAGGGATTAGTCTTAAAGACATCCAGTGGAAGCATTCATAAAAAATGTATGTAGTTGCTGTGATTTCAGTGGACTTAGTTTACCAATATTATTACTTCATGGTGGCTCTTGAGTTCCAGTCTTAATTTTATGGAGAGAAGTTTAAATGTTTAGTTTTTATCTGTAGTAATTCTTGAAATAATTTATTCCCTTTATGTTTACATTAATTTTAAAAAAAAGTTTTGAGAAAATATGAATCTGTTTGAACTGTTGCTCAGTTTTCCCCTCCCTCGTATTATTATTCGTATATAAAGGATTCTAGAAAATTTAGGATTCATCCCATCTGTATTTATAATTTTCATAATAGCTATTGGAATAGCAATTAATCGTGCATTATTGCATACTTCATTACTTTTTCTCAATTATTTCACATATATGCATGTAAGAAATAGATAAAATAAAATAAATAAAATTACTATAAAGCCAAAAATTGATGAATCCTGTAATATTAAGGCACAAATCAAAACATCGTATTCAAAGAATGGGAAACAAAGCTGAAACAAAAGTAAATATAAACATACATGTAGGAAATACGCGAGAAAGAGCTTATGCCAGTACTATAAAATAAAATTAACCAATTTTTTTTTTCTTTCTCCTGAAACTGTTTTAATTGTTAATTCTATTATTTGTGGTACATCCAATGTGCATTTTGTGGTACATTCAATTAAATAAGATTTGACTTATCCAATAAGACAAGATGCAAAGATAAGATTATTTACATATGGCAACCTCCTAGTAGAAATTGACAAAATATCAAAATGCATCTAAATCTGGCAGCCAAGTGCATTATAACTCCCTTGCCAACCATTTGCATGACAGATCTTGAATTTTAAGAACCAAAGCCCCACCATATTCATATGCATTCAGTCTGTTGTAAGCCAAATCAAAAGGTTTTATAGGCAAATCGTGATATGTTTTGTCTTTAATTCAGTTTTAAAATGTGTGGTTGTTGGATTTGCCTACATGACATGAACTTCTGCAAGACTGCAGTATTTTGCTGCAGAAAGGCTAAGGGGAGCAGTTGCTTTGAATATCATCTTAAAGTGATTGCCACAAAATTTCCAATGCTGCAAAAGAAGTAAAAGATCATAAAGTAGGTTTATTGATTTTTTTTTTTTTTTTTTTTTTTTTGGAATAAACACCTGGTTAAAATATAAAATATGCCTGTAATAATAGGTTTGTATGTAATAAATATTTTTTTTTCAATTATGAATCATCTTTCTGTTTCACTGTAAAACTCACCAAACTGTGCCAAAGTGGTTGTACTAATATGCAAGTATCGAGATAAGATTCTGGTTTTGTATAATTATTTTAAAGCTTTATTTCCTGTTTCTCTAATTGCTGCATTTGTAATAATAACTTTATGATGAATGCATTTTGATATAAATAATTCTTACTAAAAATAATTATGATATGAATAGGAAAGCATGGTTTTAGTATTCTTTATTTAAATAGTTTAGTATTTGTGGGGTACTTGGTTTAAATTATAAAACATTACAAATTAAGAAGTGCTATGTAATTTTAGAATTATAAAAAAACTGTCGTGCATTTTGAATGTAGCTGTACTATACATTTTGTACAGAGCATTTTCATAACAAATTTTAAAATAATGTATGCAATATTTCTTTAGTTAATTACAAGAGTTATTAAATTAATTAAAAATTTAAATTGCAAGCATTTCTGCTTCAAGCTGCTATAGAAATCAGGCATGTTTTAAGTGTGTAGTGAAATAGCTTTGATATATTCATAATTTTATGTTCACAAAGTCTTGACATTTTCATTCTACTGTATGGAGATTTGTTTGTAGAGTGAAATAATTGTTGTTTCAAAGTGTGAGACTTTTAGGCTATCTTCTGGTAGATGTAGTTCAATTCATAATGATATTTACAGTACCCTTGTAATGTATTTTTACCTTTTCTACTTAATGCATATGTGAATGAAACATTAGATATAAATATAACATCATTTATTTCTCTGAAAGGTTAAGAAATTGAAAAGGTATGAGCGTGAATATGCAGCTCTTAAGGAGCAAGAAAAATTACAAGAAGATCCAATAAAAATCCTTCAAGTAAGTGTAATAAAATATGAAATTAAGGCCTTTTGTTTTTGCTGTTTCTCCTTAAAATTAAAAACTGATCAAATTGTGTTTAACTCAAAGGAACTAATAGTCTCAAAATGGGATTTTTGTGTTAGTTCACTCTATACGGGGTGTTGCTTTTCACCAAATGGTATTGCCCTGTGCTATTTTTAAAGAAAATAAATAATAAGGAATCTACAAGGATGTACGTAGGTATGTTCCTTTCATTGTGAAAAAAAAAACAGTACCTAGAGCCATCAAATTTTGAATAACATAATCCTCCACCTAAACATGTGGAAGCCTGAATTTTGAACTTGTTTTATTATTTATTTCATATTTTTTAAAACATTAATAAATTTCCTCTTAACAAATTCAATAATTTAAATGCGACTACTGGCAATACTGATCGAAATAAGACATTTTTATCTGCAGTGTGCAAGACTGATTCAATTCTGAAAAAAGTAAGATATCTTTCAATTTTAATTAAGAAACTTGGCTTTATGAAAGTAATGTGTTTACTTTTATCTTCTGTGGGCCAGCATGTTGCCATTCAGTAAAGCCTAAGATACTTTCAAAAGTAATCTGGAAAGTTATTGAATAATAAATTAAGGGATTTAAAAGCAATTAGGACAGTTTTTAAGCAGTTTTTCTCTACTTTTTAATGTGATCAGTTTAAATAAATATGTATTAAAATCATGAGATATCTAATTAGAAATATTCAATATTTTTATGCAATTACACTAGCTGGACTGATTAAAATCATTATATACTCTTTTCTTTTTTATGATAATTATTTTAGGTGACTGGCTGCAAGAATGACTAGTTTCTAAAGTGATAATATAGTGTATATTAGCATATGTATACCAACCTCTAACTCTCTAAAGAATTATAAAGACAAGCTGGTTTAAATATTTTGTGATTTTGCTGTCAATTTGAATTTTATGTGGCATTAAGTGTGAAGAACATGGTATTTAATAAATAAAATTAACAAATGAAAAGTTAATAATAAAAAAGACAGAAAAAATTTTCTAGCTATCTTACTAAGAAAACTGAATATTGATATTATGAACTGTGAAAAGATTGAAAATATTATAAAAATGTATGGCAACACTTAACACTGCATTGGGAATTCTAAACAACACTTAATAATAAAACTAAAAAGACAAAAATTAATGTGTTAGTAGTAGTGAGTGTAAGAGCAGCCTGGTAAACTGCAAGCTCAGCAAGAGCATATAAAAACCTTAACAAATCCTTTTGGGTGACTGTTAAAATCTGAAACCTTTCTTTTTTATTTATTTATTAGTGTTATTAATTTGTGAATTTTAATTTTCTTTTCATTTTTTCCCTACTTTAAACCAGAGAGAGAACAAACGGCTCCTTGAGAGTAATCTTCACCTGGATAGAGAAAATGATGAACTTACCCATGAACTTCATTAATATAAAATTGCAGCTACGCAATGATCTAGTCAAAGTAAGCATGCATGAACATTGCTATTATTGTTTTGTAAAGTTAAGTAATTTATGATTATTGTTATATAGTTTTCTCTGTAATGCGTACTGAACTAAATTTACCATGAAAGGAAATTATTGTTGTTTCAATAATCTACTTTTGTATTATGCAAATACTAGAAGGCATATAATTTACTATGTATTAATAAATTATTCTGCAAAATTACTTGTGAATGCAAAAAGGCTGATTATTATGCAAGAAATTTAGTAAATCCAGACCCAATTATTAAGGTAAATATTTTTATCCTGTTTTTTGTAAAGCACTTTAATTTTCTAGATGAGGTAAAGTGTTAAAGAAATTTAATTTTTTTCCCTTCCAAATATTCCCATCTCAGAATAGATTCAGGAAAGTTAGAGTATTTAAGAAGTAATATTCATGAATATTTAATACACTGTGATTGAACTGATAAAAACACTTTTCATTGGATTCATAAAAGTTTGGGGTACAGTAAAATTTACTTGCCTTTCAACTAAAAAATCTAATAACCATTTATCAAATCGCAGCATAATTATTTATTTATCAAATTACAGCATTTTTAATATATGAAACATCTACATAATATTTTAAAAAATTTTTTCTTTAACAATAAAATGTGTTCTTTCTTCCCTATATGTGATTTAATTGAGAGAAATAATTTTAATTCTTAAAGAATTGTACAGTACCGTATTTGACGGCATTATAAGGCGCACCCTTATTTAGATGGCAACACACAAGGGAAAAAAGTTTCAATAGTCCGTGCAAAAGCGCAGTTCCACAATAACTTAAAATGTGGTTTCTTTTAAGTTCTCACATTTCGTAAAAGCCAAATAAACAATCATTGAATGCAATTACCAAACATATTTTTATTAAGGAAAATTAACAAACGGCAAGCTATTTTAAACATGATACGTAAATTTCAATAATGAATCAGCACAACATATTAGAACTACCGTATATCGAGTTTTTTCATGACCTGTGGTTATTATGGTTATTGATTTAGACCCTTTAATACTCACAGTCTTATTGTGGATGGTACATCAAATGTGAGTGGAATTTTATGCATATTTCCTATTTGACCGAGCGAAAAATAAGTTTTCTTGCGTGCATTTATAACAAACCTATGAAATGCTAGTATTTTTATTTCATAATCTGTTGGCATTTTCTATGCAATAGTTGTTTTTGTGCGCATTGATGAGCCTTGCCTTTTCATGAACCTGTAGCACCAGCCCTCAGACCCTGAAAAGTTCTGATTCCCATGTTTTTCTGCAAATCCTTTCGCCTTATTGATTATTATTTTGGTTGAAACACTTATCCCAGATTTTCTCTTATCTATCAACCACATTTTTTACGCCATTTTCAAGTTCAGGCCAAGATGGAGCTGGGCATCAAAGGTTACGTTTTTGTTTTTTAGCAGTCTTCAGTTGATTTTCCTGCAGTCGCCAAGTACGTATCATTTTTTCAGTGGGTGGTGGACCGAAATGCCTTGCTGCTGCTCTGTTTCCATGCACTTTGGCATTGTTTAATACCCCTAGTTTATACTGAATTGTATATCTTAATCTCTTGTTTCCTGTAGTCATATTTTCCAAGGTTTTTTTTTTTTTTTTTTTTTTTTTTTTTTTTTTTTTTTTTTTAACAAATAGTTTTAAGCACCGATACCGACACATTTATACAGAGTAGCACATACCGACACATGTGTCAGCTGAGTCAAAGAAAGGTCTATGTAAAGAATGAAAGGCTCCATAGACGTAATGTGACCATCGAACCTGTTCGAACTTCGACATCAGCTTCGAGCTTTGGCACTTTTTGGCAACAGATATTTCACGCATGCGCAAAAATAATTATGGAAGATGTAGAAAAATGTGTGTCTGAACCTTTATCCGAGCTAAAAATAGCATTCAGTATTGAAAGTTAACCTGTGTCCTTCACGTATAAGACGCAGATAACGTTTTTGAGACCAAATTTAGGGAAAAAAGTGCATCTTATATGCCGTCAAATACGGTATTCCAAATTTAAAGACTTTGTGTGAAATATAATTACAAATCTATTACAAATTTTCATTGCTTAATGAATCGGAATTAATAATGTAAATAAAAATATTCATTACCTTGAAAGGTTTTCATATGTAAGATGCAATTTATTTTATAATGCATGATGTTGTCTTCAAACTTCTTTTTAAGTGTCTGAAATTTTGCTTTGTGGAGTAATGTTCATTGAAATTCTCTTTTGATTGTCAGAAACTATAATTTTATATGAATAACTTCTACTAGAAAATGAAATTAATTCAAGTTCTGCTATATAGTATTTGCAAAATTCTGCTCTAAACTAGAAATCCCAGTGGGTTAGAGAGAGGCGTCCAAAATTCAACCTCATTCTGAGCAGGATAATGTTTTCCAGAGAAAGTCATCCAGTTCTAATCATTAAGGTATTTTCAGCTGCATAAATGCACTTTTTTTAAATTAAAACTTTTTTCTTTTGTAGCAAAACTGGTGACTTACTTTATGAGGTGTTTTTGTTGCTAGGCAAAAAAATATTCTTGCACTTTTGCATTTCTTTTTCTAATCTAATAATCTTGGGCTTTTCACAAGGTGTGGTCTCAGATTTTATTAAAAATTTTAATATTTCTGGATTAAAAGGTAACTTTAGTAAAATATTTATTTATTATTTTGTATCTTTTGTAGTCTGATGAAAAGGTAGAATCTCTTTCTAAAGAGCTGCAGGCAGCTACAATTACAGTTTCAGATTTAGAAGAAGAAAAAAAGAGACTTTCATTAGAAGTAGCGCAAGTATGTTATTTATTATTGTAATTTTCATTTAAGTAACTCTGTGAACCTTTGAGTGGTTGAGCTCATAATGTTTTGTCAAGTCATATACATGTTGTGCCTTTGTATATATGAGGAGTATAAAAAAGTTTTGAGATTAGTTCTGTTGACAAGAAACTACTTTATTTATCATATATTATGTGTACCCACTGTCACTTTCAAAGTAGCTCCTTTACATAGTAATGCAGCATTTCTAGTATTTCCCTCACATCTGGAATGCATCCTGGAAGCTTACTGTCAAAGCATGGCAACTACCCTTTGTGATTTGTGTTGGATCTGTGCAGTGGTGACCATTTATTTTTTACCATGGGAAGATGGCGAAATCTTCAAGAGCCAAATCTGATGAGTATGGCATGTGTGAAATTGAGATCATGCTGTGTCTTGCATGAAACTCATGTTGAAAAGAGAACAGTCGCAGACATCGGTGCAGTGTTCCATTGCTTCTGAATCAGCAGCCTGGGGATGAATTTGGCAGCCATATGGTTCATGCTTAAATTACATATCAGGATTGACTGGAATGTTTCATGTGACACTCTGACAATAGAAGCAGTGCTGTGAATTGTTCTTCAGTGACCCTCATGTGCTGCCACATGTTTTCAACGTTTTCTGGGATTGGGCTCATAGAAGGTTCTCTTGATGTTATGTCATCTTCCAGTGATGTTCTTCTGCTCTTGAAATGAGTGTGCTACTCCAAATAACCTGCACGACTGATGGCAGCATTGCAAACTTGCTGCAACATGTTCAGTGTCTTAGAGGCAGATTTGCTGAGTTTTTGATTAAATTTCATATTCTCTCTTTGTTCAAGCTTGCTGTTCATTTGGAAACACAAAAGTGGTAACGTACATGGTCACAATAGCATGAGCTGCATAGCTAGCAATGCGCACAATGCAGTGGCTTTTGACACATTGACATATGAAGATTGGTGCCCTGTGTGATTGTATGTGAACCTTTGTGTTGTTACATGTTTAGGGTTGCAAAACTAGTTTTGAAACTTTTTGATAGCACCTCGTATAACATTATCTTAAAAATAAATAAAATAATAATAATAATTTTTAGTGATTTGACTATCATTATAATGAATGGAAGATTATAAAAACAAAAAGTAAAATTAGTAATTGCATACATCTAATAAATGTATGCAATTTAAACACAGCTGTTCATGAGCAGACCGAAAAGACTAAGCTGCTTAGATGGTTAAAGCGATACTTGTTTTTGCATTCTCCTTTTGTTTTATTAATGTGCAAAAAATTATTTATTTTTTAATCTGCATTAGAAATATTTATAGTTATAAATTCTTTGTACACTGCTCAAAAAAAAAAAAAAAAGGACAGTGCTATATCTCTCGTTCTACTGGGCCGATTGACAAAATTCAAACTGCGTTTTTCATGTCTCGAAAGCGCGACTTATATATTAGATTTATATATATTAGATTTATATGTAGCACTATTCTAACATAGGTATTTTGACACAAAATCGGACTTTTTCTGAAATAACATGCCAATTTTTTTCCATATTTCGATTCTACGATTCAAATTATGCCAGAGTAGCAAGTTTTGTAAAAATCGTATGAGTAGTTTTTAAAATATTAGCTCCTCAATGTTAATTGAATTTGGCAAATATTTATTAATATCTCTGTTGTTTTATTAAACTTTTTGGATTTTTTCTCTCACATTTCAAATTTAGGTTTTTCCAAATAAAAAAAAAATTTACCCATTTTTTGTGTTTTATTTTTTAAATTTCCTGTTTTTAAATAATTTTATAAATTTTTCGAAAAAAATTTTGAATTATAACCTATAAAAATTTTTACCATCATCTTAAAGTAGGTGTATTTTTAAGCATATCTGAAAAAAATTAGACTTTTTTATTCAAAATTTTCTAAGATATCACGAATTTACATATTTTCCATTTTGAAATTTGGCATCTTTTTTTTGAGCGATAATAACGCCAAATGTGTCTATGGATTTTTGTTACAGTGAATTGCCACAGCTATTTTTAACCTTAAATTTCAAGTAAAATTTTTATGGAGAATTAATTATATGACCTGCATTTTTTTCCCTCAACGATGCGTTATAAATATTTATTAATACTATATGAAAAGCTATTTTTTAAATTATAGATGATATTATTTAAATTTTTAACTATTTTTTAAATTTCTCTCTCTCTCTCTCTCTTTTTTTTTTTTTTTTGAATAAATTTTTGTAAGAGTAAATTTTTACCTTTGGCGTTTTATCGTCTGCTACTTTACTTCGTTTAAATCAAATTGTCTAAAACTGAGAATTTTCGTTTGATTTTATTTGAATTTTATGACATTAACTGCATAATTATTTCTAAACAACTGTTGCTTTTGAAGTGGCTGAAAGAGCGGCGAATCTATCATCCATATTTTTAAAGCACAGTATATTTTTACAGAAACATAAGATTTAGAATAATCATTTTATAAAAGTCAAATTATGATAAACATACAACCCTCTAGAGACTGAATTAATGGAAGTTCAATGGTTTTAGAAATGATCTACAGCTACTTAATAGCTGGATTAGTCGGCAGATTCTGTGGACAAGTAAGAATAATTATATAAATGACACCCGACTTTCTGGATTCAATTAACAACGAGGATACGATGTTTATTAAATGAATTTAAGAAGTTTTAAAACATAAAAAATCAACTAATTTTTTATCCTAAAATGTATTTTTGTGCTTAGCGTATTTTCATTATATCCTTAAAGTTGCCTCTCAAAGGAAAGTTTTTTGACACTAAAGAGACAAATGAAGTATGACATCTACTTTTAGAGGCATGTCAAAAACAGATCTCTACAAGCCTTCTCTTGCATTACATGTTGGGCAGTCAGACAAAAAGTTGTATCAGCATACATATAACACATAGCTTCAAATTAAAATTTAATAATATGCAGAGTGGTTATAATTAAAGTTCCACATTGAAATGGTCATAAAAGAAAAACTACTAGATCAAATGTTATCAAACTTGGTAATCATGTAAAGGAGGTCATGGGAATTTATTTTCCGTGAAAAAAGGAAGTTCGAAACCTCACCACCAGGGGAAATGGCACTGTAAGAAACCAAATGTAGGATAAAATTGTGTAAAGCAATGGGCACAATGATAAAACTGTTTAAAGCAGTGTATGCAAGTCATCCTAAGTTAAAATATCGGTTATACATCTCTCTTATTTATATATATTTTTTCTGAACGGAACATTGAAAGGCGTGTTAACTGTGCTTTACTGTATTTTCTCTTTTAATATATGCAGTTTCAAACGCATCATAGTTTGGGTTACAAAGTATCTTCCGAAAGAAACGCAATTCAAATAAATAAATAAAATCAAATTCTGGAAAATTTATATTAATAAATATATTTTAAATGCTCAGTTCGAAGGAATAATAGAAAATTTTTAATCTGAAGAGACACTACAACACAAACAATTAAAATAAAAGTATAAAAATTTAAAAATTACCTAAAATAATAACTATGATAAAAATATATAAAAAAAACTATTGAAAAAAAATAAACGCTGCACCTTTATTTACGCAGTTCGAATAGGTAAATAGAAATTTTTAAAACAGTTATTCTGAAAAAAAACAAAAAAAAAAAAAAAAACATGCAACTTAAACAATTAAAATGAAATTCGAAAAAGAAAAAAATTAAAATTATAAGTTATAATTAAAAATATAATATAAAGAATATTATGTGGAAAAAAGGAACGATGGTGACTTTTTTCCCTCTCACGGGAAAGGAAACTAGGTTGCCATATATTAAGAAGTTCGCCAAGTGAACTATTCTTGGCGCAAACTGAAAAACAGTGCCAACATAAATTTGTGAATTTCTCCGTAAATTTTGCTCGAAATTTTACAAAATTTCATATTTAGGCGTAATTTGAGTTGTAGAATCGAAATATGTAAAAAAATTGGTATGTTATTTCAGAAAACGTCCGATTTTGTTTCAAAATACCTATGTTAGAATAGTGCTATATATAAATCAAATATATATCCTAAGTCGCGCTTTCGAGACAGGAAGAACGCAATTTGAATTTTGTCAATCCACCCAGTAGAACGGGAGATATAGTACCGTCCCATTTTTTTTTAGAAGTGTACATATTTTGTACTGTACTTTCTGGAAGAATTTTTTAATTTTAATTCTATTTTTTAACTTTTAATTCATGTGAAAATGATTATTTTTTTAATATTTAAGTATTAATTTCTGTCAAATTTAGCTGAAAGAAATGTGCCGTCGAGAACTGCACAGGGCAGAAGTCGAAAGTACTAGGAATGCAAAAATTATTTCTGGTTATAAGCAGGTAATATATTGTAGTTGAAAAAAATTAAACACATCTAACATAAGTACTGTCATTAAATTATACAAGACTTTAAAGATTAGGTATGGAAGCATGTGCAATTAATTAGATAATGAAGCAAGTCGTGTAAGAGACAGCTTTTTCAAATATTAAATATATGCCATTAAATTAATGAATAAGTTATTTAACTTCATTTTTGAAAAACAACTTGTAGTTATTGATTATGTGTCAATTGCATTTGTAATTCTCTTAATAATTGTCATGTAAATTGATGAAATACATGTTGTAATTTATGTACTTTGTTATAATTACTTAATCAAATGTGTATGATAGTGGCAGACAAACATAGTTTTACACCTCATGTAGAATTTTCTTGAATCCCTTAATTTATCAGTGCCAGAAAAACAGTTTATGAAAATAAATTTTTTGACATATTTGGTATCTCATTTAGCTAGATATCTCAGGAAACTGCCTATGTAGCTTAATCATTTGAGTGCCATGTGTCTTTGCTGTTTTCCCGTCCAAAAGTGCCAAGGAGCGTTTTTTCGCTTGTCTTATTCTCAGATTAAAAATGCCAAGAAGCGCTATTGGCTGTTTTCTGCTCTACGGTAAATTTGCATTCAATTCAGTGTTGTTCTGACATCTTTCTGAGCATAAGCGTAGTTGATTTTATTCTGAACATAACTCTGAGCATGTCCCGGTTATCAGCTTCACAGCCTAGAGCGCTGGCACTTTTTGAGCGACACAGAAGAAGCTCAGAATTGCTCCTTGGCACTCAAATGGCTAATTTATTATCGTGAAATTGATAAGCAATAACAATGATTTCTTATATTTACCAGATCTGCATTGTCCGTATCATGCATTTTCTAATTAGAGTGAAAACTTTTCCTTATTTAATTTCATTCAGATATTTAGTATGTACTGTGAAGTATTATTTGCTCTTTTACTGTCATTGCATTTTAGTTCTTTGAAGGTTGAATTTACTGTGAACACCAAATAGCCTGGCTTACTTTTAAAGTTTTTTTTTTTTTTTTTCCTTTCTCTAAGACGGGGCAATTGGCATAACAGGTTAAAATCTTTACATCGACTATTATGAGTGCTTTTCTATTGTTTCGGCTATCTGTTAACTATAATAATATCTCACAGTAAAAAATATCCTATTTGCTAAAGATTGGCTAGGTAAAATGCGGAAAAATAATTGCATAAGGATTATGTCATTTGGTAGACCGATCAGCAAATGCAGCATTCTTGGGGAAATTGCAAACAGTTATTCGATAAAAATTTGAATTTTTTTGAGGATAAGAATGGACAAAGAATATGGTAGTTTTGGGTAGCTGCTTATATGTTGGGTATTTGTTTGAATGATCATCCTGACTGCTGGTAATTTAAGGGTTAAATTTCTGACATGTTAGGGCAGCATTAACTCCTAAATCCATTTGATTTAAAAACTACTTGTTTAACTTCATAAAAACTTCTGGTACCACTTTGTCTCTTTATTTTGTCTATTAATTTCTCATTATACTTTGGAATTTTTCCTAAATATCCTTCATAAAAGAAACTAAATGCAGCTTTTCTTGGAAGTACAAGGTAACCAAAAATGTTCTTGCCATTTCTGATAAAAAATAGTTGCCAAAACTGATGATGATGTGAGTCTGGACGTTCACCAAGAGTATAAAAGTGTGTTGCATCAGTACTTCAAACATAACTTACACAGTGACTGATTGAAATGCACACATCAAAGGTGCTCGTTTGGAGTTCTTTGCTGCTTGATTTTTAACTGGGCCTGTTAGCAGCAGAATCAAGTCACTGAATTTGCCAGCCCTTCGGGGATTATGTCGCTAACAAACGAACCACTAGGCAATGGTTCCAGAAGTTCAGGTCAGGGGATATATCTCTTAGTGATGGACCACACAGTAGTCGGCCACGAGCGCTGGACAATGAGGCCTTGAGAGCAGCCATAGAGAGTGACAGTAGCCAAACGTTGTGAGCTTGCTTACAGGGATCTGAGGAAATGATCAGACTCCATTTTCACCATATAGGAATGCCGAGTGAGTCGGTACCCCCACTCACTGTGCGATGTAAACAAGCAACAGTGTTTCGCTGCCTGTTTGTCATTGTTTACTCGGCACCACAATGCATCCATATTTGATTAAGTACTCACCAGTGAAGAAAAGTGGGTTCAGTATGAAACACTCAGGCATTACAGAAATTGGTTGTCACAACGGGACCCTGTGCCTCACACTGCGAGACCTTCTCTTCTCCCACGCAAGATCATGCTCTGTACCTGGTGGACTAGTCGCCAAGTAGTGCACTAATGAGCTCCTGCCAGTGGGCCAAACCATCGCGACAGGCTTGTACTCATAGCAGTTGAGTTGGTGCATCGGGCACTGATAAAGAATAAGCATAGGTCAATTATAAGGGTGTACTCCTCCTCCATGACAATTTGAGGTCGCATGTGACTCAGGAGGCCAAGGACACCACCCAGGACGCCTATTCTATGATCACTGGGTCTGTCTACAACTTGAGCGAACAATATTGACTCAAAAAAACCAGTATAGACCACCCATCACAACTTATCGGAGAAAGCCATTCTGTGGTCATCAGTTGGTGGGCGGGTGGGTCCATTTGACTGTACTGAAAGGGGACAAGGCATCAAGGAGGTTTAGACCAATCGCAGTACAGACGAGTGATGAAATTTATAGCGCGCGCTGGCTGAACTTCTAGGAATATTCTCCCATTATTTCACTAACTCACACGCTGCATTTGTAGTTTGAAAAAAATGGCACAAAACAGTATTATGACCAACACACAGCAGAATATGCTGCTATGTTATCCGTTTTTTAAGGGGAAAGTTAACGCAGGAATTTAGGACTAAGAAATATAGAGTGATATGGGATACCATGAAAGCAACGGTAAATAGATAAGAGTAAATGAATTAAGCTTACTTCAAATCTTTTTAGAAATAAACAATTTTATTCATTTAAATTTATAATATGTTTAACTTCCACTACAATCTAATTGCAAACTAAGTTCTTTTTTTTTATATGCTTACATTAAGCTGTTTTCACGCATTTTATTTTACAGTTAATATTAGAAAAATATTTCTTTAAGTAAGAAATTAGAAAGAAAATATCCTTATCCTTCTTCCTTTTTTTTTTTATTTTCTTTTTCTATGAAAATTATTTCTTTCAGGAAAAGGACTAAAATTATTCGCTATTACAGTACGGCCGATTGCTGCTGCATTCAGCTATAACACACGCATCAAAATGTTTTATTTTAAATAATTTATTTTATAGTTAACATGAAGGAAAATATTTTTTCAATATAAAATATATACCAAAATTATACTAATTTATCCTGTATGTGTGATTAATTCGTATTGTAATTTTTGTCACACAATTACTAATACTATTTTTTAATATTACATTGCTTTTATTTTAATTTCATATATATATATATAAACTGCTTATTTAAAATATTCTTCCTTCTCAAAAGATTTTATTCTGTGAAAATAATTAAAAGATAGTAATATTATTTTCAAAATGCAAGTACCAAAATAAAAATGATCAATGTACGACATATATAGGAAATTGAGGAACACGGTTTAAGATAAATCGTTCTTTGACAAAACGTTTCTTTGACTTTTCGCGATAATTTAAACCCGGATTTTCGTGCTTTTTTTTTTTTTTTTTTTTTCCTCAAAATAATTAATCCATTAATTAATTTAGCGCAAAAAAATATTTTCTTTACCTTTACACAAAACGATATTCGCGTTAATAATATTGTAACTAAATGCACTTAGATAATTTCATGTAAGAAAATCTTTTATATTAATTCAGATTATTTTATATATTTGTCAGTGTTTTTTAAATATACTGGAGGTGATTTTTTTCCAGATTAGCACTGTTTCTTTAAATATTTTTCTGCGGTTGAAGTCCTTGTCAAACCAGCGTTTCGACACATTAAATAGAAAACTAATAATAATCAATATCTCTTTTACAATATAAAAATGAGAACTCTGCTATGAACAGTATCTTTTTTTTTTTTAAGTTTGCAAAGAAACAATGATTTTTTAATACTAATGGATTACAGAAGTACTATTCCATGAACAAAAAAGAGGAAAAAAAAACATTTTCGTCTTTAGCGCGCGAAACTATGTATCGGAAATTCTAAAGGTATGTCTCAGTCTTATAGCATTGTTACTTTATAGCATAATACAATAATAATACAGTATAATTCTGCTAATAAACCAACCAGTGGCCGAGCGGTAGAGTCACTGAATGCAGGTAGTTTGGTCCGAGGTTCAAATCCCACGAACGAGCTGCCCGCATTGCGTTTTCGTGGCTTTCCCCATATGTAATGTGTATACAAACCAGTTTCTCTCAGAAAGTCCTCCCTTAGAAACCAATTTTAAAGCGTAATAAAATAACACACACACACACACACACACACACACACAAAAAAAAAAAAAAAAAAAATGAAAGCTTTCAGATTTTATATTATTCCCAAAAGGCTGGTTTTTTTAATTTTTTGCGTGTTACCTTTATTTATTAAATATCATGTTCTTCGCATTTAAACCATAAAATTCAATTCAATAGCAAAATCATATAATTTAAAAAGAGCATATCTTTAGAATTTCCGATACATAGTTTCGCGCGCTAGAGATGAAAATGTTTTTTTCCTCCTTTTTTTTTTCCGTACAATGTTGCCATTTCTCGCTTTGAAATCATTCAGTTTCTTAATCAAACACTCATAAATGCTTTACAAAATACGAAATAGGTAATAAAACAAATTCCCAGTTCCAAATTTTGGCCTCCAAGATGCCTACATTAGCAGGGAGGATTACGTTATTCAAAATTTCATGGCTCTAGGTACCGTTGTTTTATCACAGTGCGAGAAACATTCATGCATTTATGCAGATTACTCATTATTTAATTTCTTTAAATATAATACAGTGCGATGATATTTAGTGGCAACGATTTGAAAAGTGAAACATTACAAAATGGCAAAACGAAGTTAATAGCCCTTCTGAGCTAAAACTTATTTTTAAAAGTATCACACTAGTAGTAGTACTGCTACTGAAAAATATTATAAAGCTATTTTATAGTTTTATAATAGTTTTTTGAATTTTTATTTTACAGTAGTGTGAATTTCGCGTAATAATGAATGACATTCCTTTCTGTGTACAGTATTGTTCGTAAGGTATTCAACTATTAGATTTTAAAATAAATGTGATTCTTGCTGTACATAATTGAGTAGAAGCTTATCGGATGTCTATATGTGCTTAATAAACTTATTATCTTCTACATTTTTAAAGCATATAATTACAATTTATATCTATAATTTCAGGAATAGTACAAATAACCTTTCTTTCAGTAGAAACTGCGTTCTTGTTTTCTGAATGTGGCTCCAAATACTCTATCAGTTCATTGCAAATTAAAAATAACTATAAATTTTGGAAATCTGAAATACGCAATGAAAACATCTTCCGGCAGAGCAAAAGCATCAACATATTTTTTATAAATTTGCCACCGATTCAGAGATCTGCGACCGTATTCTTCGTTTAAATATGAAAAAAAATCAGCGGCGAAAACATATACAAAGCCATTGTCTATTTAGTATGCCAACTGCACACCTGATTGATGACGCGGCAACACTTTTTTGCGCGCTTTCTACAACTTCAGTACTCAGAGAATATAGGATGTTGGGCAGACCTGTTTTTCACTAGCAGCGACATCTGGCGGCCCACAACATGCTGTCAACTCTCGTAGCGTAGAATAACCATCCTGGTCAAGGACTGCACTGAAAGACACTACCCTATCCACCATACTCCCTAGATCTCCCAACAACAGGTGACCTTTTCCATTCCCTGGACAACCATCTTCATGGGAAATCTTTCAACAACCAGCCAGACCTCAAAAAGGCCATCACAGACTTCTTTGCATCCAAGACTCTTGAGTTTAACCGCGATGGCATCATACAGCTAGCCACTTGTTGGCAAAAGGCACTGGATGCCGGTGGTGATTACTTTGAGGTTTAGCAGTGATTATTATTTGTTTTATGACTTTTTCTTTCTGACTGTCCAAAACGGCAAGAACATGTTTGGTTACCTTGTGCAATTTATATGTTGATCTAGGATCAACTGATTGTTTTGCTAGGGAATGGCATTAAAAAATCTTATCTGCAATTTCATTTGACAATATGTTAGTACCATTCAGAAGAATAACAAAGAATCTGAGAAAATACAGTCAGTATCTTGAAATATTTTGTAAATTCTGCATTATTAAAAAGAGGGGGAAGGTGTCTTCATTGGGTCTTCATAACTTTGTTCCAAGTTGTTTCTTAGCCAGAAAAGGGAAATTTTGCTATCAAAAGTTCGAATTATAGTATTAGTACTCAAGTGTATTAATTCTAGTATTCATTCTATTATCTTCTTGACAGCAATATTAGTGATATATATATATAAACTTATGGAAAATTATTTATTTTCATATTCTTGATTTAATTACAAGTAATATCATATATGCTTTGCTTTGTTATGTGTTTTCTGTTACTATAAAAAAGGTACTTCTGTTTCTTTTATATATCATTATCTAGAAAAATCACTAAACTGCTAAAAACTAACGGTTGACTTTTTTTTTTTTTTTTTTTGGTAGATTTGCCATCAGCTTAGTACTAGACTTGAGAAGGAACAAGCTACAGCTAAAAAGAATTTAGAATTAATAAAGGTCAGTTTATGATCCTCATCAGCATGTTAGTGAAAATTTAAAATATATTAAGGAATAATTATGTATTATACCTAGGTAAATTATCCAGAGTTGAAGAAGTGAGAAATTATAAAATGAAAAGTAATGGTAGTATGAAGTATATAAAATTAATTTAATGCTTATGAAATCCAAGCTAAAAGTTACAACTAATACTAAATATATACTCAAATGTAATTGTTATCTTTACCACCAAGAGTAATAAAGATGCATTATTTTATTCTTTGATTACTATTTTAACTATAGATTTTAAAACAAAGTCATAAAAATTTATAAATTTAATGATTTTAATTGAAATTTAGAATATGACAAATAAATTTTATTAAAATATCCATCTGTTAGGCTAAGTTTGATTTTATTACCCCCTCTAGTGGTGGGTTCTAGCCATCTATAGGCATTGGCTACTACTAGTCAGAAGCAGTGGTCTTTTTATTACGGAAGCACCTAATAGGTGGACCTCTGTCCCTTTCCATGAAGGGTGAATGTAATGAAAAAATTACATCCATGCCTTCTCTGAGATTCGAAACTGTGCCCTTTGGCATGGCAGTTAGAATCACTAACCACTTCCCCGTTGTATTTCAACGTGGGAAAATGCACCAGAACTATCTGCCTAAGAGAAGGATGTATTCATGGAGGATTTTCTAGCAGGAACTGGCTCGTCTTCACATTACGCATGGGAAAAACCACAGAAGACAACTATGTAAACAGTCCCATTGCATTTATATACATCATTTCTTTGCAATCAACACTCAGTACGCATGATCTGCATTTTCCATCCTGGCCTTCAATTACCCTTTCATCAAGGACCCTTTTCCACATGCCATCATTTATGTCCTCCTGCCTGGTCTCAAGTACCAGGTCTCCTTTCCTGTTGGGAACTAATTTGTGGATAGTGTATACTTAATGTTCACTGTAGTTCGAGAATATCCTTTAGACCATCTCTTCCAAAATGTATACAGCAAATCTTGCTGCTTCCTATAATTTCATGTAATTTTTGTATTCAGGTTTTCCATTTAAAGAATGACCCAGAGTCAAGGCTTCTTCAGAATTATCATTTCCTTGCTCGTATACTAATGGTCTGCTGTTCAGGGTGGCTTAATTTAGTAATGCCTGTTGGGCCAGTGATGTAGAGTTGAGCAGTTTGTAAATGAGCAAGGCTAGGAGCAAATACCCCTATTTGATTAGAAGAAGTAAAGGGAGGAACTATACTGACATTTAGAGTTTTACAGATTGAAACATGATGCTTCTTTTTGCATTCAATGCAGAAACCTTTTTCTTTGCATGCACAATTTTTTTAAATTATGTTCTCTGTTTGCACCCAAGAAACACCTACCAGCACTCTTTAGCTTTTCAATTACCTGTGCCAACATCAGTTAATAGTTTCACAATTTTGAGACCAATGTCCACTAGTATTACAGAATGGGCAAAATGGTGAAGATTTCTTTGAACCATTTTTTGGTTTTTAGAGTTAATATTTATATCTGCTGTAGAAGAATCAAATATAATCAATTGGTTTCTCACTTATCTTCTGAGCAATAAGTGCTCCTTCCACTTCTGTGAGAAACTATTCAAGTGCAGTAATATCCCCTTCCAACATTTTCCTTCTTTTGGTATTGAGTAATCCATCTTCTATGTATCATCAGGAAACGCATGTAAAATTTTAGGTGCTAAGGCATGGCTGCATGCTTCAGTATTTTCTCCTAAAGCAATTAAAGCCTGCAGCCTTCGATTGCACTTAATGAAAACTTTATTCAAGGCTGTAGGTGATGCATATCGTATTTTCCAAAAAATCAAGATGAGCTTGAAATACTAGAAGGAAAGCAGTCTGTGTAGGATTTTGAAAAGTACATAAGTATTATACCTTTTTTTAACTAAAAAAAAAAAAAAAAAAACTTAAACTATTCCTTGAATGCATGGGCATCACACCATTCAGTGACAAGATGAACAAAATAACAGCCTTGAACTTGGTTTGTGCTCATTGTCTAATATATGCCAGATGATCTCGTAGTGGCACTTGATGCTGACTGGAGAACTGGAACAGAACGTTTTTGAACACATGTGGTCTCACTCTCAAAACAGAAGTTTGCCATAATCTCTCCCTGATGAAATGACTTCGGTTTTCTTTTAGATGTAATCTAGAGTAAAACAAAGTGATGTCCCAAATCGCTTTTTCTTTTTGGTGCAAATAACAAAGTATTAAGCCAAGATACATAAAAATCATGAGGAATTTTAAGAATAAGAAAAATTCGGTAGAAATCTGTTGCAAATCAGGTTGGCACGAGAGCACTCAGAAATGAGGAGAGTTGGCAACTTTGCACTGAGTTTGCTATACATTCCTATATGTGCCAGACTTTTAAATCTGAATAGTTAAAGCAAAGAATTTTTAAAAGTTTTGCTGTGCTTAATTATTGTATTTGAGAGTACTTAAAATTTTTATATTTATCATAGCATGGTATATTTTACAAGCTTTAATGTAATTAATAGTAACAAATTTTAATTGTACATAAAAATGTGTTTAGTACAAATTTTATCATACATCAGCATACATTTTTTATAATTAAATGTTTTTAATATTATTTAAAAGTTCAGTAGTCATGAAATATTTGTTTCATGGGGGTAAAAGCAGCTAATTGTTTATTGAGAAATTCAGTAATCATATGTTATTCTGTCTTTCACTTTTAGTTAGTTATGTAGTTCACAGATGGAAGTAACTTAAAATGGTGATTTGCATATTTCAAGATTTAGAAATATTCTCTTTATTCATCTGTTAAGGCTATATATATGTATATATTTGTATATCAAATATAATCTATACATTCTATTGTAGATGCAGTTTTTGAAATTTTTAATAGTTTGAATAAATATATGAGTTTATAAATATTTTAGGCTAAAATGGATGCCTGTGAGTCTTGCTCCAAGTATTTGAAGACCATTGTTCCTAATTCAGATTCAGGTAAAATTTCAAAGGAACTTTCTTCGAACCAAGATGCTGAGAATGAAGAAAATGACAGTCAGGCAAGGGAACTTGAATTGGAGCTCGCTAGAACTAAGTTGGCTTTAGTTGAGGCAGAATGTAAGAATCAGGTAATATTTCAACTGTTTGTCTTTACTGAATTTTTACGTATTGTAATGTATTTGAAAATTGAATTCTCAGTGATTGCTAAAATTTCAGCAATTAATCATTTCATTTTCTATGATTTATTAAGATATATTGGATAATGAATGTTCATGTTTCACATTTGCACTGAAATTACTTGCATATGGCAAAAGCCCACAAGGGCTATCTGAGTAAGGGAGGAATTTCATAGATAGCTTTCCAAGGGAATCTATTAATGTTTACATGTGGAGAAAACTTTAAAAACCAATCTTGCAGTCAGCCGGTTCATCTGGATTGAACCAGGTTGAACTCCCATTATTCAGGAGTTTAAACGACTGGTGGGACTTGAAATGATGTGAACAGCTCTTATTATAATAGGCTGAGTTAGATACTTTTGTTCGTGGTTATCTAAATGATGAAATATGATTTGTGTGTACTGCTGATGTATATGTGAATCTGAAATTGTTTTAAAATATCATTGATATTTTAAATTCTAAGGACTAAATAAGAGTTATACCTTTAAAAAAAATGTGTTTTAGTTACAAACTAGCATTTCTCCATTTAGATGGGAGGGGTTTTAACGACTAGTGGGACTTGAAATGATGTGAGCAGATCTTATTATAATAGGCTGAGTTAGATACTTTTGTTCGTGGTTATCTAAATAATGAAATATGATTTATGTACTGCTGATGTATATGTGAATCTGAAATTATTTTAAAATATCATTGATATTTGGAAGATTCTAAGGACTAAATAAGAGTTATACCTTGTGTTTTAGTTACAAACTAGCATTTCACCATTTAGGTGGGAACCTTCTAATTTGCTGTTTTTCTTCCTCCAATTTATTCACAACTACAATGTATTTTTTCTGAATATCTCTTATTCCTAAAATTTCTTATAATTTTTCTGTAACTTGGGTTAAATTTCATTATTTTCACGTAGAAATTTGATGATTTTCTACATTTGAAATTGCTCATTTTTTCTGCTGATTACCTATTTAAATTAAAAATAAAAAACTGATGCCAAATCTGTTTTATTAATGTTGGGTTTGTTATGCATGGAAGAGAATATTATTTATCTTAAAACATCATATTTCAGTTGTCTAGTAGGCGTCTATCACAGCTGCAGGCCATCTGGCACACATCAGCCAATGAGCACAAAGCAAAATGAAGTCTCTTCCTATTTCTATCCATTATTAAATAGTGTGAATTTCACATATTATAAGAAGGCTTTATTATATTAGTTATGTTGGGGAAAAAAAGCAAAATGCTCATGTAGTTCTCAATTAATATACGTATGACTTCCCTTGTATTATTCTATCAAAGAAATATAATACATTTGCAATGCATACTGTTAGTCACTGTGATTTTTGAGTTTTTCAGTGGAAAGGCTGACAGTCTTAAATGTGCGAGTACACAAAAACACAAGGACAGTGTAAGTTGTGTTGAAAATCACAAAAAGAATTTTCTGTGGAATCAAAGAATAAATAGTTATTAATGTGGAATTCTTTTATTATTTTTCTATACAAATGTTTGTGTATATATATATTTTTTAACTTTGTGTGTATTTCCTTGCAATTTGCATCTAGGAATTAGTGGTTGTGCTTTCAGATTTTATTTAGATTATATTTAAAATAAGTTAATTTTTTTAAACAAACATTCCTTGCTATGTAATTTTATTGTTTAAAAATTATTTTTTGTTGCTGAGAAAATTCGCCGTATTTCTGAAGAAAAATCTGATTTTTTTAATTAAGTTGTCAAATATGCATATAAAAATTATTTTCTAAATAAAATGTCACAAAATATAAATGCATTAGAATTGTAATAAAAATAGAAATTCAAAGAGAAACATGAAGGCACCAGTCTTATGTCTGTATGTTAAATATGGTATTAAAATTAAATAATTTCATACAGAACAAACTGCAAAATTTCTTCAAAATGATCTAACTTATGCAAACTCTTGCACATGGCAAGAAAGAGTATGTATAAGAATGCACATGTATATATGTGACTATCAGCTTCTGTGGAAAGACTACTCTTCCCCCCCCCAGTCTCCTGAACATGTCAGTCATATGGTTTGTTGCAGCTACAGTGGTCACATTTTTTATGTTGTATATAAGCAAAACAATTTTGTGGCAACAAACTTCTATGTTTGCGACAGCATGTTCTTATCGGTTGGTTACAGAGAACCAAAGAGATGTTCCATTATTTGAAAGAAAAGAAGATCATTTTAGTAGAAACCTATTGGGGGGGAAAGAGAAAGCACATTTTTGTAGCTTTCATTGGTGTTAAACCAAATATTTCTCAAGAAAGATTTTTTTTTTTTAAACATTAAAAATTAAGGCTCTTAACATGGTATGAGTATAAATCATACTCAGTTCATCTACATAAAAACTCTTGAATTATTTTTTCTAAGTAGTATTTTTTTGTGTGTGGGGGGGGACCTTCTTTTAGCTTATGTAATGGAATACACCATACTAGGAATAAATCTTATGGTTAAAGCAGAACTATCAGGGAAATTTCTCTTTCTCTCCTTGCATACCATTGACTAATTTTAAAGAACCTCAGAGAAAATGTAAATCTTGAGCATGCTGATTTTATAATGGCTCATTAACAGGTTGCAGAAATCTGTAGTGCCTTATGGAGGGTTTAAAGGTAGCCAATAAAATACATGAAAAACATGTAAAGTTACAGACTCTAAAAGCTAATAAAATTGTAGTTATCGTAATATTCTGCATCATATTTGTCTAAAAGTAAAATTTGGCATTCATGTAAAACAGTCACAAAATTTCTCTTGAGAGGTTTGTGAAAGGAGAAAGAGGATGGGAGATCCTTGCATTGCCCCCCCCAGGAGAATACTGCCCCTGGAAACCAATCCAAGGAATGGAGTGAAATTGGATAAATTCATATTGTCACCTAATAAGGTGATCAAGGCTTAAGCCAGTGAAAAGTGCAACCTTTGCCTCTTATATTCTTTGGCCGCAGTAAAATTCCTGGGCTTGATCTGATGTTATTGTGAGACAAATGGGATGAATCATAATAATATTTTTTCCCCCAGAAACTGAGGTGGCTGCATGAGCATTTTTATGGTTTTCTGCATTTGTAACATGTATGCAAGCCAGTTTCTCTTAGAAGGTATCCCACCCCTTAGGCAGCTAAATCTCGAGTGTTTTGCCATAAGTAAATAAACTAACCAACCTTTGACAATTTTTATTTAAGAGCAATTGTTATTTGCAGTTCGGCCATTTTTTTCTTTTATTGCACAAGACTAGTTGCATAATATTCTAACAACTGAAAAATTATATACTATTTTATGCATTTGATTGAAACCATGTAACTGAAAAAGTGTTTTTATATCTTTTATTTATTAGTTACTTTTTTAGTATGTGAATTATTTTTGTGTATGTATGTTTTGTGTGTAAAATGTTTATTATTTATTTATTATGTGAAATCTTTTATTTCTCATCATTCTAAAATTTTCATGAAAATGTTCAATAAATCTGGTAAATCTTAAAAGTTATCATATGTTTCTAAATATTAAAGTATGCAAATTTATCTATATAAAATTTGTTCAGGATCTAACTCACCAGCTGAATGCTGCTATGAATGAACTGCAGACATCTAAAAACACGTGGTTTCAAAAAACATTCTCTTCAATACGTGAAGCAGCAAAGAAAGAAAATTTAGCATCAAAGGACAAGGAAACAAGCTGAATTGATTGAAACTATAAATTCTGCTTGATTTTCTTTACAGCTTTGATTTTAATTTTGCTTAGGGACCAGAGTGAACATACTTTTCATTACTGTAGATTATTTTCTTTTGTTTATATATATATATATTATGTATTATATAAATAAGTGTACAGCTTTTGAGCATTTTTATATGAATGAGTGTGTGTATGCATAACTTGTATATCGGTATAAATAATATTTCAGATATTTTAAGAAATTAATTTTTGTAAATCATAATGTCCTTGATTGTTTTTGCACTCACTGAAAAATAAATAACTTATCTCAGTCAAGTCTTTTTATTTCAGTAATATTTGTTATATGTAGTGCATAATTCTGAACTCATTTTAGGCTGTAGTTATTTATACTGTTTTTTGGTTATTTTATATTTTAAGAAAAATGCGTTAAATAAAAAGCATGCTTGAAAGAATGTCATGTGAAGTTTTGATCAGGTTATTGTGTATTAGATGACTATTTTGCTCTACTTATTTTTATTACTACTTTCATTACTATAATTTTAGCATCTTTATTTTCATAAGAAATAATTCTCAACATTATCGTTCTTTCAAAAGTGGAACAAGATCTAAAATAAATATTTTTCATTCAAATTTGGAATTCAGACACATAAATTATTAACTTGTATTATTATCAACATATTTTCTTAATGCATCTACAAGGGCTGAAATTTTATGCCCTTGTACACAACCTGTGAAACATTATTTTGAATCAAAATGTTAGCTTTATTTTATTAAAATAACTTCATCTTTCAAAGTATTAAATTTCATTTAAAAGATCAATCATCATACTAGTGATTATACCTGTCTGATAACTGCCAACCTAGAAAAATAAAATTACTTGATCCTATGAAGATATATCAGTAAAGAAAAATTTTATTCAGGCATTGCTGTTGTAAAGTGGTAAGGCGAAATTTAAATGACGAGACAAGATGATTTAGCTTTTAATTGCACATTTTTATTTAATCCAATTAGCAGATCATTTTTCTTTTAGATGAAAACTCTCTACATTACATATCCATAGTGATTTTAACTAAGTATGATTGAATTTAAATTTTTTGCATCATCACTATTTCTAACAAATGAAAGAAAGATAGACAGAGCAGTGCAGAGTCTTGTAGCAGCGATATTAGGAAGCAGTGTGACTGAAAAATGGTGCGTACTCAGTATTAGTAGCGGTTACGTAATAGGCTAGCATATTCTAAAAGGTACTGGTCTAGGGATAAGTCTTCAATGCATCATCACATAAAGGCAAACTGTCATTGAATGCTTGTTTATACACTTGTTTCAGGCTGAAATCGGTTTCACTACTTTTAATATGATGCAAATATGGACTTATGGCTGTTGAAAAATTTAGTTTTGGTTCTCAGACTTTCCTGAATTCCATAATGCAGCACTTAACGTGAAGGATACCAATCCCTGATATATACACCATGTCCATAAAAGTCCATATAGTATGAGCTTTATTTTTGTACTTATTAGTCATAGACATATACTTTTAATTATGGAAATAATTCAAATGATACAAATATTCAGGTTTTTCATTTCTAAATTAAAAAATATTAATTTTTAAAAAGTTATGAAATTTTATTTTTATATATTCTCCTGGCTCTTATACTTACATTTAGGAAAATGTAGCATTCTTTATGAAAAATAAGATACAAAATTTTTATCACGTGCATCATGAAAATTGACAGATATTTTATTTTAAAATTGAAGATCTTGTTAAGATCATGTACACAAATTCAGGAGCTAAATTTTTGCATTTGTATATAAATAAATATAAAATATCAGTTCAGAAAATGGATTCTGATATGCATTTCTCATCAGTTTGTCATAAAAAGTATGATTAGTATATATATTTTTAGAGGTCTTATTTACAGAAATTTCTGTGGCAACTCCAGTATTGGCATATAGTCAGTTCACAGCGTTATTTGAATGAATAAAAAGTTAAAAATATTTCTTGTTTATTTAAATTTTGTAAGATTATTACAAAATAATTCTAAAGCAATAAAACTTGACGAGAATATTGAATGCATATTTTTAGTACTTCAAAATTTCCATATTCCATGATAATTCCTTCAACAGACCAGTCATAAAAAATTGATGAATTAATTGATGAATGTTACACACTAATAAATCACAAAAGAAAGTCATTGAATGACATTTAAAGGGAAAAAATTTAATCTCGAATTAATCTATTTTACTTAGTAACCTATTCCTCAAAGTTACTCTGGAATGCGTCAGGTATTATTAAATTTAAAATTAAATATCTCAGTCAATTTTTGTTTCAATTTCTGTTGCACAGAGTGAAATGTTTTGTGTTTTAAAGTTTCGTAATGAGCATAAATTTTCTCTTAAATGTAAGTATAGGGCCTGGAAGATCATATAGAAAGCTAAATTTTGTTAATTTTTATAAAATTGCATTAATAAAATTTAAACAAATCATTAATTATGATCTTTAATTTAAAAATATCTTAACTATTTTTTATTGTAGGAGAGTGAATTGCTTTGTGTTTTATTTTTTATAATGGTGTGCAAAATTTTCCTAAATATAAGTAAAATTATTGGAGGAACATATAAAAAATTTGATTTAATTTGTTCTATAAAACTGACTTTTTTAAAATGTGGAAATATCTGAATAAGAATACTTGCCTCATTTAAAACCTTTTTGTAAGTGTATGTCTATGACTGACAGTTGTTGAAGTAAAGGCCAGGTAAGGACTTTGTAGATATGATATATATATATGTATATATATATACACACACACATAATTAATTTACTTATTAAAGTTTGTTATATGTAATGATGTAAAATGTCATAGACATATTTATAGAATAGATATGTCTCTCATACTTCAAAAACATCAAGGCACTTTTGATCCATTATTAATCTGGTCAACCATAGCATGCATATTGCTTACAATTACTTGTGATTGACTGATACTTATGTCAATTTTTATGCTCTAAGTTATATGAAATGTTATTATTATGGTCTGGTAATCATGATTGTGTTGTCTTTCATTTGAGCTTCCTTTGCAGTCTATTATTGCTACTAACTAACTGGGACTATTTGCCCCAGTCATCTAGGATATTGTGATAATAACCTTAGACTGCATGTGAATAAATAATAAAGTTAAATGAAATGTACCAATATTCTTACAGTACAAATTAAGTATGCATTCTTTACAAAGCATTCTAGCATTCTTTACAAAGTTACAATTGCATTTGGCAAATAGGCCAGGTTTCTTAAGTCATATATTTGTCCCCTAATTCCTTAAAAACATTGCAAAAGTAAAAACCCATTTAAAAGTGAATTTTGTTTACCTAACAGGGAGTATGTGTCCATTAGGAACAGAATGGTTTAAAGTATTATTAATTATAACAAAATAAATTATTCTTAAGGTTTAAAGTATTATTAATTATAACAAAATAAATTATTCTTTAAGGTTTAAAGTATTATTAATTATAAGGACCAAAATAGGTTAAAGTATTATTTATTAATGTCAGTATGGTGGCATCATCCTCTTACTCGCATGTGTAACACATACCTCTGCAAGATTTTAGCAAAAAAAAAAAAAAAAAAAAGTTTTTCAAAGTTTCACTATAAGTATTCTGGAACTGCTGCTATAAAACTGTGATGAGAATGCAAAGGGATAATTCACATTGGAATAGCTGCTAGAAAAGTATTAACAAAATACATTTCTTTTATTTTAGCTCTTTCTCGGTTTGTGCTAATTAGTATTAATAAGTTTAGTAATATTGGAGACTGGTATCTTCAAATTCTGTATACTATTAATTTAAAATTTTTGTTAAATATTGGGCCTAGATGTCTTGCTTTTTACATATTTAAGACATCCTTATGAATTTTTATATGTAAATATAAAAGTTAAGCGAGTTTAAAAAATCAATTCAGTATGTATATCTTTTCATAGTGCAGCTCTTAAAATCTTTATAGTAATTTGTAATAATTAAGTATAATGCCATTGTTGTTTTTTATTATTTTGAAATTTTAAAAAGAACCCTTGAACTAAACAAATTGTGATTGTAAACAGTTAAATATTATAAAATATTTTTTTGAGTTTATATTCTATAATAATATTTACATAGTCCAAAGTTTTTAACATTATTCCCTTCATATGTTTACTTTATACAATTATGTAATTGTGAACGTATTTGAAAACGTAAATAAAAATGTAAGTTTTGTATTTTGTTTGCCTTATTTTTTTGAGAAAAATGCAAAGAATATAAGAGAAAAAATTATCAGTCTTTCTAAATACACCCATGGTCAAAAATTAATCAATAAACGCTAAAAGAAAAGGTACGAATGTAAAAAGGTGTATTAATACATGCAATTTGTGTATGAGTTAAAAGTCGCATCGCCAAATGCAAATAGGCAATTAAAATTAGCATACAGAGGCGTAGCTAGAGGGGGACAAGGGGGGACATCTGTCCCCGGGCACAGAATCCAAGGGACGCCAAACTGATGTTACGACATTTTAGAATTAAATGTTTTCCATCTTTGGCAAGCAGTAGGGGTCGCGAAATCTTCAGTTGTCCCTGGGCTCTGAAAACCCTAGCTACGACTCTGTTAGCATAAAATGCAATCCCGCAGTCACACCACAAGGCCTTAAAAAGGGGCATTTCGGACCTATGCATCTGTTTGCCAGCAGCGATAATTATGTGTAATCTCAGATAGCTAAAGCGGAAAGCATGAGTCGAAGACATCATTTGCACGCAGGCATTGGAGGGCTGTCAGGATGTTGCAAGCTGGTGTGACAATTTGCTGTTGCAAGAAAGCTGAATATGCATTGCAGTATCATCAATAGGTTGTGGAATCGTTACCAAAGAGGTCAAGACCTCTGAAAAAGACGTGGATCTGGACAGTGGAGAACTACCACAGACGATAGCTTCCTGTTATGTGCGAGTTGTCGTAGATCACTAATGGCACAACAGCTGGTGTCGCATCTCTCTGTTGCTATAGGACGGCCCAAATTCCACCAAACTGCATCTCATCGATCGCAGGAAAGTGGACTTGATGATCTGTGGTTTGTGTTCCTCATTGCATGTCAAGGTGTAGTTGAATTGATCCCGTGAGCATCACAGTTGGACACCAGAGCAGTGGGGCCACGTAAACTTTACGGATGAGACTCGATTTAACATTCATAATGACGAAAGGCAGGGACGCACTGTCGAGCACCAGTCGGATAGAAGAGGGGGCGTGCGTGTATGGGCTGGGATAGCAACGAACAGTCCCACCAACCTCTACTAGTGGTTTCATCACTGCCCGCGACGAAATTCTACACACTCTTGAATAGCTGCGGTGGGTACAAACACAATATTTATGGATGAAACGCTGCTTGCATAGTGCCCAAATGGTGCAGAGTTATCTGGAGAGTGAAATTATTCCACATCTGCTGTGACCTGCTAGATCACCAGACCTGAATCCCATACAGCATGTGTGGTACATTTTGGGACAATGGATAGCAGGTCATAGTGTGCCGCCAAGCACCCTTTACGAGCTCCGACATGCATAACTACAGGAATGGGTGCTACTGCCACAATAAGCTATAAGGTTAGTTAGTTCTAAGCACTGGCTTCCAGCCCACCTGAGGGGATAGGCCAATCCAACAATAAACGAATGTTAAATAAAGAAATATAACAAAATAAATGGTTAAATAACAGAATATAATAAAACTTGATAAACATCAGGTAATAAATTTAGATCATACAAAACAAACATTGGAAATTCAAAAGAAAAAAAACGGGTTGTAAAAAAAAATAATAAAATCACAACCTGTAAAACAGATACATACATCCCAAACACTCTCCCTGAAATCAAGACATAGAGGTATCGCTTCCATTTCTGCTTTCTTTCCTAAGTTTTAAATCTTTATAAGTTTTGCTTTCAAGTATTATTGAAATTTTCTTTATATTATCAAAATTCATCTTAAATTTGTAAGTTTACTCCAATCATATCTGTTTTCAATATTATTTTCTGTTTTGTTATATCTCTATACCAATATTGTTCTTATGCTCATTCACAATTTGCATAATATATCTTGCAAATTTTCTAAACAATGTATAGTATAACGTAATTCAAACTCTGAAAAATGTATATTTTCCTCTTACACTTCCAGTCAGGTAACAGTTCCCGACAAAGTGTTTTGAACCGCCGAATTTATTACACACTTTACATATATGATTTTCCTGGAGGTGGAACCTTTTTAAGTAAGCAGGGAACCTTCCTATTTCCCCCCTCCTTTCAGCAAGCCTTCATGGTGTAACGGTAGCTCACTCGGCGTGTATTCGAGAGGTCCTGTTTCGTGTTCCGGCGACGGTGTTGTTTATTTTTCATATCTCCTGCTTAAAAAAACTAATGACTCCAGAGTGGCGCCCGAACAAGAAAATGTTGTGGACGGTAATTCGTCATCAACAGGATTTGGCTATTGGGTTCCCTAATCCCCAGGTGCCCTTCAAAAGGGGTATATAAAGTATTTTCTCCCTTCTTTCAGCATGCTTTCGGGGTGTAACGGTAGCACTCTCGGCGCGTATTCGATAGGTCCAAGTTCGAGTCCCGGCGAGGGCATTGCTCATTTTTATATCTCCTGCTTAAAAAAAAAAAAAAAAAAACCTAATGAGTACAAAGCGATCCAGGACGCTGCTGTCAGCTTGCCTTGCCGTTGTCAAACATGCATTTCAACTACAGAGTATCATACCCTTTATTAGCGTAATGTACCTTCTGCACATCTTCCGACACATTTGGGCAGTGCAATGGTAGTAATACATATGTTTTTGTATATATTTGCTTTATTGTTTACTATGTAGTTTAGAAATGTCACATCAGGCTCTTGGATCAATTTCACCGCATATTCATTTAATAATGTTTGTTTTATTCCATGTTTTGCCTTTGTTGCTTATTTTTTGAGCAGGAGTCTAGATGATTTATGTCGTCTGCAGATTTCAGTGAAATAGTGAGCTACGGTAGATATTGAGATACTTTTCATAAATGCTGCAATAAGTAATCAGTTTATTGTTTAGGAAGCACTTATATAGGATCATATCAAATGAAACGATATTCAGACATATATCCTTTCACTGTGCTTTTTTTTATTGCATTATTTCCACTGGGGAGCTTTGAAAATTTTAAAGGCGTCACGTTTCAATTAAAAAAAATATATTGGTCTAATCTACTATATAAAAACGAAATATTAAGAGTTTTACTTTGTATAAAATCAGAAAATACAAGTAGTGTGCATAAACAAGAAAATGTCTTAAAATAAAAAATCTAAAATTTTTATAAAATTAAAAAGAATCACAAAATAGTAACTATGTATTTAAAAATAAAAACATGTTTAAAATTTATTAAATTTTAAGAAAATCGCGATTTTTACAAAATTTGGCATAATTTGAGTCGTAGAATAGAAATATAGAAAAATATTGGCATGTCATTTCAGAAAAAATCCGATTTTGTGTCATAATACCTCTATTAGAAGATTTCTATATATAAATCTAATGCATATCCTAAGTCGCACTTTCGAGACCTGAAAAACGCAAGTTGAATTTCGTCAATCGGCCCAGTAGAACCAGAGATATAGAACTGTCCGATTTTTTTTTCCGCAATGTTTTTTCGCATAATATTAGTGTGTCTTTATGTGTGCTTTTTAATGTGATACGTACTTATATATCATTTAAGCTTTCTCTTCACCGATAGTATACACCACGTGTTTCCCCGTTCCCGTTCTAACACTACAATTACAGGTTGGTGCACGTAAAAGTGGGTGGAACACTGGAATTTCACCATTGGTGGTACGGGGATAGTCCCATGGCACTAACTGTGCAGTTCCGCCCAGTTTTGAGGGAAAAAAATCCTGGGATCTCCCACCTTTATGTTCCTACCACCAGCCTCTCGGGAGTATTTCGGCTCGCTGTGTATTTTGAGTGCCCCATTGTCGCACAAATACTATAAACTCTTACAAACATGCATTTCTTTTCCAGTATTCGAAGCTGGGCCCATCGATACGGTAGTTAGCATCACTAACCACTTGGAACCACATTTAGCGAGCAATAATCTGTCTAAGTTTATGACGGAACATGGACATTTTCTGATTATGTCAGACATCAAGCGAAAGCAGCCAAACATAAGCTTCTGCCACGATAGTTTCAGAACCTGAAACATAACAAGGTTTCTTGACAGAAGCTGAAAGGTGTAATTGATGACTCGGCTCCTGGGGTACATAATCAGTCTTCGCAGTGACTAGAATCATCGATTCTTTTATGGTAGGTTCAGGCTGGGCAGAGACTGTACTGGTATTCTCTTGTCTGCCTTTTGGTTGTGGAAATGGTACATTTAGATATCGAAGATTGTTCTTGCAGGTTTGACTCCTCTTGGTTAACACTGTCTTTGACCTGAATTTTTCTATTTGTAGGTGACCGGCTGGAGCCCGGTCGACATTGATTTATGTTTTATTATGACTGTGTGCAATTATGTTCCTCTGGGTTGACCGGTCGGGTTATGCCTCCTTCGTCTCTGGAGAAGGAGACACAGTAACCCTGTTAAGCGCTTGAAAAAGCCTAGGTCTGGGAGTCTCCCTGTCTGGTGTCCTCCCAGAAAATATGCCTAAAGTACGAAGATACTTGCAACCAACTACTTACAAAGACAGAAAAACCAGTCTATTTAGGACTAACTCTGTACGCAGAATTACATTTTATTGAACATATCAGGAAATTTGCAAACAAGTCACTCTCAAGACTGAAAAGTCTATGTATCACTGATTGGAGGAGCAAATACTCTTATCAGACTCATGGTGGAACATGCAACATCAGTCTGGTCCCACGCTTTCGATTCTGCATTAGAGAAGTTCGATAACATACAAGCAAGAGCAGCAAAAATAATTATCGGAGCAGTCTCATCCACAAATAATCTGAAATCACAGCAAGAATGCGATTTGAAGACCGTAGAAGGCAGAAGAAAATTTATCAAATTCCCTAACAAGATCAGAAGCCGTAACAAAAAATCATATTAGCAAAGGAAGAAAAAAAAAAGAGTACCTTTCAGATGTGGAGTGGGAAACAAGGCTTAGTACGATCAAGAGATTAGACAGCAAATCTGCCTTGACTATACCATTCTACAGGAGCCAACTTTACTGTCTTTGCTACTTCAAAATATTACAATAGCTATTAATCTTCTTGAACAATGCTCCAATGCCTAGTAGGTCAACATCAAAGCTAAAGGAATCAGGACCATAGAATCGTACTATGGCTATAGATAATGGTTATGTTTGCGTCTTCACAGATGGATCTTCAGATGAGATTCTATTAAAGAGAAGAAGAGTATTTGAACGGGTAAAAAGAGAAAGTTAATTAGAGCATGATTTCGCTAGCATAGCACAGGTTACTACTCTATCCTTCCTGCTGTTAGTTGCTGATACGCCTTTTGGAAATACATTTAAAATTTATCGCCGGTGTGGGTTGCTGAGTTAGCTATTTAGTCTTAAGTAGTCCAGCACTACTCTTTGCCATTTATTGTTAAATCATTATTAAGTTCCCACCGCAAGAGTCGGTGCTATTGTGAGCACAAAGTACGTGCACTTTTGTTAAAGAGTTTAATCAAATAAAAGGGTAATTTAAACCCTTTTCTTGTGTGCTGTTTCTTCACACCTATGCGAGAAGTCGCTTATCATTAAGATCGTATCTTTGCTTGATAGCCAAACGGGTACGTACGATACTACACACTGTCTGCAGAAACTGCCATGGAATCAAATTTGACCAGACCACATCTTCTCCTGCCCGCCATCTTGATTGCAATGTAGGAAATCAGTGTTTGTGCCTAGGAAGACCTCGAAGAAAATTGCTTCGAGGTCTTCATAGGCACATGTGAATCGTCATGGACCCCATCGTGTTGGAACCATATTGTCTGTCGCATCGATGCAGAAATCTGTTCGCCATCTAAAAGTCGGGGCATGACTTGCTGCAGAAGGATCAAGTAGTTACAGCCGGTTAGGCGAAAAGGCAGTAAGTAAGGTCCGCTGAGATGATCCCCGCCACAACGCCGGCCACATTAACCGAAAACCAACTTTTAATGATGCAATTTAAGAAATGATTTCATGGCAAATATTTAAAAGAAAAAAAATTACATCAGTACATCAAACGCAGCCATTGCATTAATTATAATCGAACTTTTGTGCTGTTAAAATCTGAGATTTTGGTTCTGAAAACTTGTTTATATTTGTAAAATTAAAAGTTATATAATAATGAAAAGTAATACAACATAAATCTGATGATACATTTTTTTCAGAAACTTTTTTTCATAGTCCTCGTCTAATTTATAAGGTATTTAGGTATAAGGTCTTCCTCCTTTCGAACTTCCATCGTGGAGTAACTGGCTAGCAAGTCCAGCTGGCAGTTGGGAGGTCCGGCATTCGGATCCCGGCGAAAGCATTGCACATTTTTCACGTCTCACTTATTGATAAATATAATGACTCGACAAGTGGCGTCCGAACAAAAAAGGTGGTGGACGATAATTGGTCACCACCAGATTTAGGCGACTAGTGTCCCTTCATCCTAATCGCCTGTTAAAATAGGGAGTACGTAAGGTATTTTCTCCCTTCTTTCCGCGTGCTTTCGTGGTACAACTGGATAGCAAGTCCGGCTGGCAATCGGAAGGTACGGTGTCGAAATTCCAGCAAGGGCATTGCACATTTTTTACGTCTCCTACATTGATAAACCTAATGTTACCATTAAGTTATTTATGTGCAGTTGTTTTCATTATTATTACGTTGCATGTTCTACACATGGAGGTAGGAAACAGAGGAGAAACCTTAAAGCCTTTCTCATACACTGCCTTAAAGCAGGAACGCATCCCTTTTGGTGAAGAAAACATTCAGTTATTTGCGATTAAGATCAATAGATTTTGACGAAAATCGGAGGTAAACATTTTGTAATTACGTATAAATGTATATATTTCTTTTTTCTACAATATTTCAGAGAGAATACATTTTTAAACAATATTTCATTTTGAACGGAATTGAATGCCATACGTTTCCCAGAACAGCTAGTTTACTCAGGTTTAATCTGAATGAAATGCTTTCAGAAGTTTACATTAGAAGGAAATTTTAAGATAATTCAATTTTATTTGATTAACAACTACAAAATTTCAAAGTTTACTATATTATTAATATTAAAATCATGCATTATTTCTTTTCTATTTACAGATTTTCTATCAAAAATACTCTCTCAAATATGAGATGATTATACCACCTCCGTGAAACCAGCTCTTTGAGCCTCCATTAGTAATTATGAAAATACTGCCTACTATGAAACTATCCAACAGTTATGAAACGTTCAGACAACGGCTGTGCGAGACATAGGTGGCGTAAGCCGAACTTTTTTACTAGGCAATTAGACTTTGCTTTGCCACTGAAATTGGTATAAGTGCTTTGTCTAGATGTTCTAAATGCTCAGCTTTATATTACCTAGTGTCAGAACCGATCAATTACAGCGGAGGAAACACGAACTGATACTTGGTCAATGACTCCGTTGACTGGATGTCAGCTGTGCAGAAAACTCGAGGGCTATCTGCTTAAGAAAATGTGATGCTTTTGTGTAGGATTTTCTAAGGAAACTGACTTGTATTCTGTGATACATGAGGAAAACCATGAAAACCAACCATGCAGCCAGACAGTTCGCATGGAATCAAATTTAGAAGTTAGAAACAAAGTTCCTTCGACATTAATGATATCCAATCAGCGTACTCCATAAATAAATCCATCCGAATCGCTCCTACGTGTTTATGCTCAGGATCACGTTTACACTACGTGTTTATGTTCTCGGTTTTTGCGGATGCTTTCATGAGCCCACTTGCAATGTGGAAAGAAAGTACATCATACATAAAGTTTTTAAGCGAACTAATTTTACGTTACTTAGCTTAGAGTTTGCTTATGTATTTTCTATAAATGTGATAAGTTCATGTAATAATATTTGTCAAAACATCTTGTAAAGGAAACACGTATTCATACACTTTAAGGTTTCAATTGTGTCCGGCGCAAAATATTTTTGTGACCCTAGCACCAATTAGTTTCGTAATTTATTCCTTACTTATTTTTTAAAAAGTTTGTGAATTTTTAGTACGACAGTTCCTATTTAGTCTGGAAATTCACTTTTTAAATATCCTAAAATAAAAATTGTTACCGAACCAACATAATTGACTTTTCCCTCTTCTTGGCTAGTTAATCAAGTCACCAATTTACTATGGAAAACAAGGGACAGTTTGAATATTTTCTGAACAAGGTGGTTTAAGAGTTAAGCAATTTTACGCAAACATTAAAAAAGCTTTCATCCATACATCAAGTACTGCTGTCATGTTAACTGAATCAAAATTTTATGACATTAAAATCTATGATTCTGTTTCTGAAAACTTTTTCATGTTTTTGAAATGAAAAGCAATAATAATGCAAAAAATAATAAACATAATCTAATAAACATACCATTTTATCAAAGCTTCTGTTCAAATCATTAGTCTAATTTTTATCTTTACAATATTTATAGGCAATCATTTGTATTGTGGTTAAGTTATGTGCTGTATATTAGTATATTATAGAGAAAAATATAATGGGTTCGATGAAGAAAACCATTCTTTTAAAAGTGATCGATGTAAGAAAAGGATTAAGAACCTTTGGCCAAAAAGAAGAAAGGTGTCTGAATCTCTTCTTGCTTTGTTGATTGTATCCTGAGTAAACTGTATAGTGTACTTTTTTTTTTTTTTTTTTTTTTGCAAATGTGCTAGAAAATACAAAATACAGAATTTATATAAATATTTTTTATTCTAAAAAATATATGTACAATGTAAAAGGTTGTACACACTAAGTATCCGCTTAAAGCTTTCCAGTACTGCTATGTACAGGTTTCGTGTTAGGAAACCGTATAAAACCTCCACTCCGACCCTTCCACAAAAAAGCGTTACACAATAAATAAAAATAAATTAGACATAAATAAACATCACGTGAGGCAGTACATTTTATAAATAAATATGAACAATGAGCTGATGAAGCTAATAAATATAATGACAAATGCCTTTGAACGTGCATGGGCAATACGTTGAACTTATGAACCGACAAGTATTTATTATCAGAAACGCTATGAAGTTTCAATAACATATTTGTGTTTGAACCCCGTATTCAACGCAAATATGTTATTAAAATGTATATTCAACTTAAATATGTTATATATAAAATGTTAGGAATTTTTCTTTTTTGGTTTTCTCCTTTTGCGCCTTGCGTTTCAAAGGATTGGTCATGATAATGTAGATAGGAAAGAAGTTTTCTTTTTCCCTGCTTTAGTCAAAACGCTTTGTGCAGTTCTTGTAATGAAGCTTCTATCGGAATTCTTTGGTGACCCTTCTTTGAGCTACAAAATAGGCAACTGTACAGATGTAAAATACAAGAAGAAGTGCACTCGTCACACTTAGTGCCATCAACGAAGTTTTTGAAGCGCAGGATTCCAGCATCAAAACCGATTCTTTGTAGTGGGTGCTCTCTGAAAATGAAGAAAATTGAACAAAATAAACGTCATGATTTAACATGTTGATTTTAATTTAGCATTTTAAATTAAAAATTTTTACTGGGAATAATGATTTTATTCCTAGTAGAATAACCTCCACAAAGATACCACTTGGGGTTTTTTTCACCAAATCGTAAATGCCCTTCCATTCGCTTTTAAGTTGTCAGGTGTTCATTCATTCTTAAGAGATTAATATTAGTTTTGAATTTTATCTGTATGATTCGAAATAGTTTTTAGCTAATGATTAACTGGGTATTCTCTCCTTGTCTCACAAGGCGCCGAATTAAAGATTAACATTTCGAAGAATCTCTCTCTTTTGTTTCTGAAAGAAAGAGTTATTTGAGAATTATTATTATTGACAGCTTTAACTATAATAATAAACGCATTTTCACGCCAGTATTAACATAGTAATAAGTTACTGGTACTTAAAGTAATTTATTAAAGTTCAGTATTTTTTATGATCAGACGAAAAGAATACAGCTAAAAAATATATTTTACAGTTAATTAACTGTTAAGAACATCTTGTAAGGTTCGTCGTTTGTGGGTTCTCTATCATAATTAAAACACATGCTTAATAGTAGAAGGCGCTTTATCTTTATTGGACAATGCGAATAAATTAAACATATATGTTTAGAACATAAAAGTGATCAAAGTAGTACATCATTTACCCGGCTCTTCCAGCCGCGTAGTAGTACGTAACAAACTTCCCCTTCTTGGAACTGCATGGGAAAAAGGCGGGTCGCGCCTGTTATACTGAAAGTGTAACAGGCGCGACATGTCCGGAGTACTTTGGATTCTGAGATATCCGTAACAGGACTTCGCAAAAACCGAGGATTTTGAAAATAATTCTAGATTTTGTTGAAATATGCAAAGTTATTCATCGCGGTAATCGAAGTTTAAAAAGACTGTTCGGTACTTTTCCATTAAGGCCATACCTTTTATTTTCGAGGTCATATTGGCTTATTTCTTTCCTTGTGCCTTTGGTTCGTTACTAGACGAAACGGAATAGTCGGGATTAACAACATGGAAACCATCTGAAATTTCATAACAAAATAACGGCCTATCTTATTTCTTTTGTGAACAGGCTTTAATAAGTTTCCACAATTTTGTAGTGCCCATAGAATTAATGTTAGGACAAGATAACAAGGTACTGGCCCATTGCTCATGTAATTATTGTACATGTAAGTATTCCAATCATTCGTTGAGTTATTATTAATTTAAAGTAAGCTTCGGTAATCCAGATTCAATAACCCTTGACACTATAAGTAAATGAATCGTGTGGCAATAGCGAAAAAAAATGCATGGTTCAGCAAACCTCGTTTGTATTCGGATACGTTTTTTGTCCCAGATGAAAAAATTCTGTATGACCATTTCCGCTTAACGCACATTTTAATTTTCCATTTCGAATGGAAATCTCTTTTCTGAAGAGATAGAATAATCTCTTGGTCATTTCTTGGTAAACCCCAAATCCAGAGCTGAATTAGCCATTAGGCAAAGTAAGCACGTGCTTAGGGCATCAAAGGAAAGAGGAACCACGAAAAGGAAAGGGTACTCAGGGTCTCATGAACGGAGGCACCACAAATTTCCCGTTGCCAGTTTTACCATGGAATGGTGCAGCTAAACCGACATCGAGAGAGAAGGACTGGGGAAAACCTGTTGGGGAGGCATCAAAATCTTTAAAGTGCTTTTAGCCTTTAAAATCTTAATCCAGCTCTTCCAAAGTCGTTAAATCTATTGCAGTAGGCGGAAGACTAATTAGACGGAAGTAGTGATTGCATGAGCAATGTAAATAACCAATCTTTAAGATCTATATCATGTTAATATACTTTTTTTTAAACTCATTCGATATCTAAATACATTTTAACTGTGATGCAACACGTACTGGTTTTATTATAGGCGTAAATTTTGAACGAAAAGTCACCGAGGACATGATGAGACTGGCTTAGTAGTTAATCGTGATCAAGAATAATTGAAAATAGATCTTAATTAATCGGTTTATCGATTGATTTCTTTGCTCATTGACAAAGAATAATTCCCAGATTTCTTTGAAATGAAGATTATCAAACCTTCTCAAGTAATGAACGGGGTTTCTCGCATAAATGGTGTTCACGTTTTGGATAAAACTGCTTTCTTCTTTACTAAGGTATCGACCTCTTCACAAACTTATGAACTCTCCCATTATTAATTCTTACAATAACAGACTTACCGTTAACAGAATTGACGTCTCGCATGGAACTGACGGACTCATCTCCAAAATCCAGAACTAATATTTCGTGACTGAGAGTCATTTCACTATCTTCTTTTTCAATGGGCTGTGACCTCTTTCTTCGTCCCCAAGAGCTAGTCTTTTCCATACCATGACCGCAATTCACCTAAATTTACACAATGATGTGATTATATATGAATTGCTGCAAGGATCTGGGAATGTAACTTAAAAAGCAGAAAAAATTTTTGACTTACAGCCTCGCATTTGCCGATACAGTATTTGACATTGCACTGGAATATCACGCCATAAGATTCTGTGAATCGGAAAGCTTCATAGCTACTTTCGAGGGAACTGCCTATTTCTCGGAAGCGAGGGAATATGTTTGGATCAACTGGGCAACTGGAAAGAGAAGATTATACATTAAAAAGCATACTTTGCTTTAAGAACATACAGAAATATCATTTAAAATGCGTTCTTATGTACTAAGAAATGCTCGTTGAATTTGGATTGTTAATATGTAAGGCTTTATATCGAATTTAAATTCTAGTTAACTTTTTTATAGTTATTCTTTCTTTTTACTTCCTTGTACTAAGTAAAAAGGAAGTATTGTAATCGCGAAAAGTTTCAGGCAGCATATTTCAACGAAAATATCCATTTTGACCATTATCGAATGCAATTTAACGATGTTTTTACGTGATATCTGTACGTAAGGACAGAATAAAATACTCTCTTCCTTCAAAAAAATTATAAAACTGCTTTAAAATTAATTCTGAAGAGAATTTTTCGTGGCGTCTGTACGAACGTATGTACGTACGTACGTACGTACGTATCTCGCATAACTCAAAAACGAGTAGCCTCAGAACGTTGAAATTTTGTATATAGGACTGCTATAACATGTAGATGTGCACCTCGTATTTTGGTTGCAATCGGCCGCACCAAACGTATATAAATATATTTATATATATATCAACTCTGTTACCCGGCTCAGTGATCTCAGTTTCTTTATTCTTATATGTTTGTAAATTGTACATGTTTTGCTTTAAAAATGATTGTATTATGTTGTATTTATCTTCCGGTTAAGGTTTTTATGCCTTAAGTAAATCTGTATGCAATATTTTTAGAATTATCAACAATTTTAAAGTTGTCTAAGAGCCGCTAAGCCTTTTTTTATGGCGGCTATTGATGTTTACATTTGAAACAGGAGATTAGTGGATTTGTTGCCAATCTAGAGAAACTTAACTTCGCAACAACAGAGATAACGCATTCATTTATTACTACCAATGAAATCATGCTTAATTCTTTCTGGAATTTTTTCGAGGAAATAAGTGTTTAAAATTTACTTCGTAATTTTTAATATAGATATTTTGAGTTTTTATGTAATTTTGCCTTCTCGCGAAGTGAGAACTGAATTAATTAAATGAGAAATACTCAATCGTCTGTGAAAAACTGTTTCTTTTTTGTTTTGTTTGCTTAATTTCTTTTATACATCATTCTAGCTTTATTATAGTATTTGAATACAACATGTGGCAACGATTAGATAATTCTATTCTTTAAATGATATAAATTTTGTGCATTATGAGTTATAATATGAACGAAATATATAAGTTAACTGTTATATAATTATTGGATTATAAAACAGTTAACTTAGTTTCCGTTATATAATTATTATATAAGTTAACTGTTATATAATTATTAATACAGTTAAGTGAATCTATCGCCAGAGTGTCGCTATGGTAAACAAATACTAGAGTGAATTTTAAAGAATGCCTTTATTCTGTTGTTTATGGGCTGTCGGCGAAGTAGATTTAATTCAATCCAATAAGTTTAAATGAAATGCAAGAAAAAATGTGCATAATTTAATATTCCGTACAAGAAAGTCATGTGGTGTACACATCAGATTTTTTATTTCTCGAGATCATACTACTTATTACAAGAACATGCAAAATAAGCGAGCAAAAACAGAAACAAGTGTTTAAACATGCAAGGACTGCAAAATTTCGTTTTCTTATTCTGTTGTTTGAACAACTAAAACTTCGTCATTAAAAATGTAATTTAATATGAATATATATCTTCTTACCCTCGGTCGTCAATGACTTCGAAAACGCTTCTAGCATCCTTTGCCATGGCAACACAACTGCGGGCGAAAATTCCATAAGGTGCTAAAAAAAAGAAAAATGAAATGAAAACAAATGTTAGATAAAGTTCATTACCTAAAAATCTCATTCACTATTAAAATTCAATAAACACCTTTTTTTTTTTTTACAACTTAAACGCTACTTATACCTTACAGTTGTACTAAGAAATGACTCGACTCCGATTTTGGAGCTTGAAACATATTTATAAGTAATTGTTGAAGTATAATTTTGAGTATATTATGAAATATAGTAAAACGGGCAACCATGCGGGAAGGTTTCCATGCTGGTCATAAGCGTGTCTTGGTGAAAATCGCCGGGGTATAGCCATAACTGTGCTTGCCGTTGAGCCGTCCTCTTGGAACCAAATTATATCTTCTAACTGTCTTACCGATAATTCTGCTGATCTTCACTGTTCCATCGCAATATCTCCTTAGCGTCTGTAACAGAGCTGCTCTAATGAAAGCTTCCATTGCTGCAGTCCCAACTGCACCATCCAGCAATTCATGATATACTAATCGTCTGACTCCTAGCTTTTCAAGGTGGCCAGTAGTGGCCGAGCAGTGAAGTAGTTGGACACTGATAATTCAACCTGAGTTCGATTCCAGACAAATGAGCTGGCTGCATGGGCACTTTTATGGGTTCTCCGTATGTAACGTGGCTATGAGCCAGTTTCCCTGACAAAATCCTCCACAAAGGCATCCCCGCTTAAGCAGTTAGCCTCGTGTTCTTAGCCGCAATTAAACCAAGCTCTACTTGAATGAAGGTTTACCCCACACGCCCACGTGCAACTGTATAGAATTGGCACCTCAAATTGGTGAATCCAGTACGTACCACTCTGTATTACAAGCCTCACCCTCTGAAGCTCAAAAGGGAAACACTTAGGGGGAAAACAGGAAAACATAAGGGGCAAATTAACCGCGAAAAGGGGGAGTTACCTTCTTCATTTTGTTGAGTAAAAGAATATTTATAATCAATATAGAAAATTATTTTAGATAATATTGGAAATTTAATTTATTACATATGTATATGCATTCTAAGTGCCTATATATGATTATTATATTACCTGAAATAGATATTTGAAAATAACAGACGAAATTGTTACAATACTAGATTTGTGGTTACTGAAGTCACGAGATTGATTACCAAAAATTGGCTGCGCAACAATAGTTAGTTGCAATATACGGTGCTTTTTGACTCTATCACACTTGAAATGCCGGAGAAAATATCACACAAAATTATATTTCCAAAGCGAGGAAGGACACAGGGACCGCTTAGAACAACTATGCAGGTGAATTCATTAAGTTAAACTGAAAATGATATGAATATGGAAGTTTCTTGGATGCCCTTTAGTTCTCGGTGTTATAGATTGTTCATAGTTGTAAGTATTAACATATAAGAAAAAATGAGAAAAAAGTCATTTTTAATGCCCATTTTAAAACAAAGTTTTAAAGCTTATCTTACTTCCTTCTGGTATTTCAATCCTAAAGGTGAGTTTGTCGCCAATTCTGACAGTCGATGCCTCCCTTCCTTCCATTCCCAAGATGACGATTTTGGGCAATGGAGCTTCTGGAGATGCTGTCACTTGCATTGTGTCTGGATCTCTAAAAGATAAATAATTTACCATTATAATTGTTTTGGAAGTATTTCTTGAAGGAAATCATCACTTTATTCGACACCGACATAAAATGCAAACGTATTCTGTCTATATCACGTTCTAGGCTAAGCACTTTTTGCTGTGCTTGCCGAAACGATTGCTTTTGGTTGCAGAGAACAATAAAACAATTCTGCAACTGAAAAAAGAGACTGAAGAAAGAATCAAGAGTAAAATTTAAAAATAAGTGTTTTTTATAATAAGTGACTTGTAATTTAAGTTAGGGAGGAATTGTATATTTTTCTTTAATTCTCCTTTTGTACTTAATAGTAAGAAATATAATTGAATTATTTTTTTTCTTTTCATTTTCTATTTGTTCTTTTTTACAAATTGTCAACTCATTTCTAATAAAACAGATATTTATAGACCATTTTTATCATTTAGGCTGAATAGATGCAGAAAATAATTTTACAGTTTATGACATCTGACACATAAAAAGCATTTGAAATATCTCAATTTTCAGTTCTGGATTAAATTTTGAATTATTCTGTTTAGCAGTCCACTTTCATTCGTGAGGTAATTTAAACTTTTATTTTAGAAGCAAGAACATTTTCTTTTAGAAATTTTGAAATATTTAGAAATATTGAAATTCAGTTGATATGCAAATTAATTCTTCACGTATTCTTATTTTTATTATTAAAATTAGTAAAATAAAATAAATTTATAATTTAATTTGTAATTTTAAAGTTCTCTTTAGATTTGGAAGTCTTTTAATTTAGTCCTCAAGAAATATTTGAGAAATCATTTAAAATGTTTTCAGTAAATCTGTTTTTCTAGATTTCAACAGGATTCAGCGGATTTTTATTATTGAACTCTCATAAAAATCTACATAGAATTTTCAAGCTTGAAAAATCTTAAATCCTATATCCATGATTTAATTATGAATGTCTTCTTTGCTTTACAATACGGAAAAATGCTTAAGTTTAACTTGCATAAGCTTAACAAACTAAGAGAAGTCTTTATATTTCTTGGATTTCAGGAAAAAAGCAAATACCCAGAAAAAAAGGTAACGAATTATCTTTTTGTGATTGTCTTGATAATCGTCATGGCATACATTAATAAGCAGAAGGGCATAAAAAGTCAAAAATTCAAAAAGAGTTTCAGAGACTTATATAGATTACTTTACAGTAAACCTTTTGATCCTTATTAAGTAAATAGTTATAATCTACTGTATTAATTGTTTTTTTCCAGAGAAATAATGACATATTCAAATTCTAACTCTTTTAACTTTTACAATTTACAATAGATTTAATTCAACGAGAATAGATTTAAAACTTTTACCTTATGGGCATCATGCCGAAAGAAATATTCCTCGAGGTAACTTCATAAGTGCATCTGACGTTGTAAACTTTGTCTGTCCTAGTCATTACCACGTTGTGGTGCTGTAGGACAACAGTGTTCGTATACACTCCACCCTGAAATGAACAGAATGTCAAACGCTCTCATCTCTTCTCATTTCGCTAAAAATTTCAAAAAGTGAAAAAATTTTTATTGTCTTAAAATAATTTTGATTGAGTAGAAAATACCAATGGAGCAGTGCAAGACGCTTTGAAGCACTACTGTTCCAAATGTCCATCATCAAAGCCACTTAGGCTCTAAAAATACTCTCGAAAAGTTTATGTACATTGATTATGAGTTTTTTCAATTTTGTTTATGTTGAAATCATATTTTAGGAACCTACGCTATGTTCTTATTTAATGTTCATATTTTTATGCCGCTATATTTAAAGTAAGGTTAAATTTTGTAGCCGGTTACTTGAAATAAATGCCTTTTTTGTACGCATATCTTGAATTTTCATAATAACCCGGAACAGATATTCTCAGTAATGCTTCTATAGACGATAAATCATGCGTGTCTCTACAAGCTACATAAAGGTGAACAAAAATTGTTCATTAAAGATTTCAGCGTTCAGTGGATCTGTTCATTCCATGCTATTTGACTAACTAAGGCTAATCTAATGCAGGGATCACAGCACCTAATTTGCGAAAGGCAACTTTTATCAGTCTATAACCTATCAGATTCCGTGACTGTTCTGTGGGGTGTTTATGCACCTTTACCATTTATCGATTGAAGGTTACGCTTTTACCATGATTGTTATGGATAATGGTAATGGAGATGATAATCGGAATAGAATTGGGTAATCAGGTTTAGATTCTGGATGAGTAACTTCAGAAGCGTCCATCACATCCAAGGTTGGAAAGAATAACACAAATGATCCATCACTAAAAGGAAAAAGTAATCTGAATAAATAAAAACATCGATTTTATTTGAACCTGTATTGGAGAGTAAGAACAGACTAAATCTTTTAGTAATGATTTATTGAAGTATAAACCTGGCATAATGTTTCTGCGGCAATTAAATTAATCTTGATGCAGCTAAACGATCGTTTCCAAAGAAATAATCTGCCTTCTGGTGGTTACGACGTTTTCTGATTAGACAACTCATTCCTTTTCTTTTACTTCTTTTAACGTAAAATTTAATGTGCGGTATGTTGGAAATCCAAAATTGCCTGTATTCTAATTACATTGAACTTAGAGATATTCCTGTTTTTCATATTTGAAAACAATTCAATAGGATTTCTGCTAATGACAATTTTTTTCCGCTTGAATTTCATTAATTTTATATATATATAAGAATTCTGCTTGTGTTTCAGTCACATAAGTATTCATTCTTACGTATTCTTAAGTTTTGGACTTCACGGAAAGTTATTTATGAGGTATTTCTTGACAATAACGCTTTCAGTGACTGAGTTTATATTCAAGTCCCGGATGACCTGGCAATAATGGGAATTTATCCACCTACAATGTAATGATTGGGAGCAAAATTAAAAAGTAACATATAAAATCCAATATTGCTTGCGATATTGCTTACACTGCGGGAAAAAGGATAGTTCTGTATCTCCCGTTCTACTGGACTGATTGAAAAAATTCAGCTTGCGTTTTTCATGTCTCGAAATCGCGACTTAGGATATATATTAGATTTATATATAGCATTGTTCTAATATACGTATTTTGACACCAAATCGGTCTTTTTCTGAAATGACATGCCAATTGTTTTCCATATTTCTCTTCTATGACTCAAATTATGTCCAAATATTAAGTTTTGTAAAATTTGCTGCGAAACTAACGGAGAAATTCAAAAATTTATCTTCGCGCATTTTTTTTTTAGTTTGCTCCAAGAATAATTCCCTTGGTGAACTTCTTATATATGGCAACCTATATTACCTAGAAAATATTGAATAAAAAAACTAATTTTTTACAGGTATGCTTAGAAATACATCTACTTTAAGATGATGGTAAAAATTTTATAGATTATAGTTCAGATTTGTTTAATAAAATTTATTTAAAATTACAAATTTAAAAAACAAATCATTAAAAATGGGCGAATTTTATTTGGAATGAGCCTAAATTTCGAAAGGAAGAATCAAGTAAGTTTAATATAAAAAAGAGATATTAATAAATATATACCAAGTTCAATTAACATGGAAGAGCTAAAATTTTGAGAGCTAATTTTTTAAAAACTACTCGCGCGATTTTTACAACACTTAGCATAATTTCTGTCGTAAAAACGAAATATGCAAAAAGAATTGGTATGTTTCTTCAGAAAAAGCCCAATTTTGTGTGAAAATGCCAATGTTAGAACAATTGCTATATATAAATCTAATATATATCCTAAGTCGTTCTTTCATGACATGGAAAACGCAAGTTAAATTTCGTCATTCGGCCCAGTAGAACGGAAGATGTAAAACTTTTTTTTTCCTTTGCGCAGTGTACATAAAGAAACTGGAAAATATATTAGAATTTTATTCCTCAACTTCCTAAACTTAAATGTTGCTGAACTGCTGAAGTAAATAAGGACAGAATATTCACGTGACAACAGAGAGGAATAATTGAACTTCCCATTACGTTTATTCGAAACATTCTTAATGTATAGTCTTCTTAAATATAAACGACTAACATGAAGATACATCAGATCGTCAGTAAGTTGTTGCAGACTTAACTTCTCCTACTCTAAAGAGTTTCCTGCAGATTCTTTGGTAGTTCTGGCATTCTAAATGGCTACTTACAGGCATTCCACACATGTTCGAAAGGAACCAAATTCGACGAGTATGGTTCTAATCCACCTAAACAATAGCTTTAGATTCCAGATATTGCTCTCACAAATAACCCGGGATCATCCATAGTGACCGAGTTTTGTACTTTAACAGTATGACAGTCTTTGGAGGTATAAAATTCACAAAACAAGTCCTTAAATAACACCTATCTGTGTGGGTGGATAGAAGCCAGGCTTTTCTCAGTGCCCTATCCTTAGGTGTTGAGAATTTTGAAAGTACACGTTTCTTAAAATGGCTTGAAGACAACAAGGCTTTGGGCCTGATTTAAAGTTCTGACAAGAACATGTTTTACGAAACTACTTTTTTTACGTACCATAAGGCTCGTCCGTATGGTAGATGATTAAATCTCTGGAGCCAGTATACAAATCCTTATCCTCTTCCAAATGAATTCCGTTATGTCCAAAATTATATCCACTGGATAAAATTTCGAACAAACAACCTAATGAAAAACACACAGAATCGCATCTCTTTACTTACCGTTAATCACTAATTCTCTCGGAATGGCGATTCCATTCTAATTGAAAGAGAAAGTTAGAGGATCACAAATTATAGGTCATCATCTGAAGAAAAGACTTTTCCTAATATGTATAGTAAATAGAAACCGCTTATCCTTATCTCATAGTCTGTTGATGTGTTCTAAGCGAGTTGTTTAGCTGTTGGCTGGCGATTTCTTCTTCAGATTAGATTCATATAGCTGTCTTCAGAGCTTTTGGACAATTTTTGTCATTCGCAATGACAAGATCTCTTGTATTACAAAACTGCTTCTTGACTTGATATTTGGCAGAGTATTTAACTTTCTGGGAACATATTACTGGGACTGGCGCTATGGCTGGTCATTCTTTATTGCTGCGATTCATCTAACTGTTTTTTTTCCCCGAAACATTTTCTGTTGTATCTTTATCACATGTTAACATTCAAATGATTTTAGAGAAAAAGAATATGAAGGAAGTCCCAATAAGCGTCTTTATAAGGGCTTCTTTATTTGGAGGTTCTGCCCTAATGAGTGTTGAGTATTTCCCTGTTTCAGTATTCCTCATTTTATAGTACTAATACTCATAGATTTATAATAACCTTAATTGCATTTATAACCATTAACTGTGTATTGGAATACTACATACATGTTTATCTGGTCGTAAATTCGAAATCATTATTATTTCGTAAGTAATATGTTTCAAAGTATATCAAACACTACGGTTTTCAAGAAAGAAATTTTGTTACTTTTTTAACTTGCAATCCCATCAGCGTTCCTCTAAATCGAGCAAGTGCGTAAACGTACGAATTTCTGCAAAACTGTACAGATGATTTTAGTTTCCGAGCACACAGCTAAATACGGAACTTTTATATACGCGTGATGATTCTGCACCGATTAATATCATGTTATTTAAAAATTGGTATCTCCAAAGTCATTGCTTTTTACTCTGTCTTTGCCGGTAACGCTGGTCACTTCTTGAGCAGTCCTCGTGTTGAACTCATTTCCTGCATTTCAACTCAGGACAGCACTAGTTTATAGCGGAATCAAATCATAATAAATTAATCATAAGTAAAATGGTAAGAAATCATTTTACTTATGATTAATCATAAGTAAATCAAATCATAAGTAATCAAATCATAAGTAAAATGCGAAACGCAACTTCGGGTACTCTAATCCATTTAGCGGCAGATGATTATGTAATACAGGGGAAATTAAGATGAGAAGTACCGACCTTGAAATACTGTTTTAAAGAAATGATGCGTTTTGTCTGAGAAATTCTTGCTGAAGAGAGTTTGTTGTTGTAGCCATACTTTATCCTGGTTAGATGAAAAGGCCAATTTCTAATGAATAAAAATATATGACACTGCACAGTTCTAAGAAAAATTCGAGATAGTTTTGAGGGCCTTACGAACAAAGTCAAGTTAAGACTTTTAGAAGCCCTAAACACTTAAAAGAAATTTTTGCCTTAGGTACGTTTACTCCCATTTTTTTCTTTAAATCTCTCCGAGTCTTGGTTTGCATGATGCATTCAACGGCAATACTGGCAATGGAAAATTTTCGTGTGTCTCCTTTTTTGATGCCCGAAGCACAATTTGTCTTAGATGTCCTAACCACCTTTTTGTGGTGCTCGTTTTCCTTCATGCTCTAAGCATCTTTTTGTGATGCCCTCTTTCCTTGAATATATAAGTACATTTTTGTGGTTCTTCCTTCTGATGTCCTAAGTGCTTTTTTTTTTTTTTTTTTTTTTTTTTTGTGGTATTTCTTTTACTTGATATCCTAAGGACGTATTTGTGATGTTCTCTTTGCCTTGAGTTTCTTATCACCTTTTTGTGGTGCCCCCTTTCCTTGATGCTCTAAGCACGTGTTTGTTTTACTTGACAGTTAATCTACTCATTTGGGATGATAAAATGAACCTCATTTGGTAGGATAAAAGGTAGAAGCTGCACTTAAGTAAAACACGATAGCTAACTCAAACAAAATCATAAATATTAAGTACTTTGAGGCTTTTCTACAAATTATTCTAAAGATTAAGTTTTAGCAAATATCGAGAAAGCAGTTAGTAAGAATAACCGACCATGGATTGCGTGTTGCAGTCTTGTCCGCTGAGAGAAAGGTCCAATCTAAACTGGTTGCTGTTGAGGACATTGGCATGGCAAGTCTCGCTCCTTCCCAGTGCATAAATTCGTCCGTGGAAATGCCTGTTCGTTTTCACATAAACAATGATCTTTGTGTCCGTGCACTGGATAGATACTAAAAAGATATTCATTGATTGATATTTAATTTCTAAAACTATTTTAAAGTATGAAGAATTAATTAATAAGAAAATTAAGTAAAGAGATCAGTTTTAATATTTTTTTCAGCATGCAATTATCGATTTACATTTAAATGAAGTATACTCAATTTCCGATCAACTAGGATAATAGTTTGTGGTTTAGCTCTTATTTTGATATAGCCACGAGAGGACCACATTATCTGAAAGTTACGGTTGATCGGAAGACAGTTAAAAAGCGCAGAAAAGAGGGATAATCTATATTATAATTAACAGGAATAAACCAATAATAATTTGCTGTATTTTATAGCAGTTTATTCTGGAGAATAAATTCATGCGGTTACGTAAATTTAATCAATTTTGGAAGTAAAAAGAACACAACACAAATAAAGGACAAATAAACATAATTAGAAATGAAGAAGCTAACTTATAAATAGCATTAAGGAACCATATTTACAATAACACTTGAACAACACCATTGCGATCAAATTCGTGTATATATATACTCGAATTTGAGTTACTGATTTATTAAAAAAAGAGAGATGATCAGAACTTTTTGTTTAGGGCAAAAGTTCATCTGGTTAACATCAACTGCCATCACTCCTGTTAATCTACCCAATTTCCTTTCCTTTTTTGTTGGACAGTTTTGTTTTATACTGATGGTTTGTGATACTAATTTTTTCGTCTTTTGGACATGTTTATTTTACGCTGGTGGTTTGTGATACCAATTTTTCACCTTCTTTTATTGACAGTTTCATTTTACGCTGATAGTTTGTAATACAAATTTTGCCATCATTCCGCAATATTTTTTTCCCCTTTTTTTAAGAATATTAACTTAATATTAACCTCATTTAAATATTCTTACTCTTCAAGAAGACATTATTTTTACTCCTTAGACATTTTTTATCGCTCTTGAAATCGACAAAATTTTATTCAAATTATACGTCAAAATAAGGGTGGGCCTTCCCCTCTCCTCCAATTTAAAATTTTGCACTGACGTGTTTCTTTTTTATTTAAATTTCCTTGTATTTATGTAGTTTCTACCGTAAACACTAAATGACGAATTATTTCAAAATATACATCATGAAGACAACATTAAAAAAGTTGTACAGCATTGTTATTCAGATTGAAAGTAGGTTTTATGACATTTTAAATTTATTTAGTTAACTGTATTTTAATGTGAATGGAATAGTTAAGTAAGGCACAGCCACTATATCTTTTGAAAAACGATTGGTAAAGCATTTTTATCTTCCGAAGTAGCCTTTGATGCTTTTATTTTGAACAATGGGAACACATCGCTTTTAAATCGCAAAGTTTCTAAATTAAAAAAAATTAACTAAATTCGCACAAACATATGAAACGAATAAAAATATGTGTATTCAAAAATTGCTGGGTCTAGGTTCCACCATATTTCCACAATGCATATATACATATAGAACATGCATACATTCATTTTGATTCTTTATTATTTAATAATGAAGATAATAAAGTATTCCAATATACTTTTATTGGAAGTGTGTAAATACAATGCTTTTTAATTTTGAGTTCAAATGTTTAGCAGATCTTCAGATATGATTGGAAGGATTCGAATAAAGAGCGGTATAATAAGATTTTTGAAATTCTTTAAATCTCGTCTCTGTTTCTAATGTCTTGCTCCTATCATAATTAAGTCAAGCAATCAATCAATTACGATTGAATTTAAATTGTTTCTTTATAACTGAAGTGCATCAATCAAAAAAATAGTACGTTTGGATTTTGCAATTTGAAATCTGTAAGAAATGCCCAGAAGTGTTTCAGATTGTTAAACATGTTTTTAAAGACAGAACAATGTTACAAGTTTTGATTTTTCGTAAGTCTTACCATCGTAGCACACGCCGTAGACATCGCAAGAGGGATCCTGAGTTTCCGGGAAAAACGGAATGGTGGTGGGTTGCTGCTGTTGCTGGGGGCTCATGCTCAAGTTGATGTTTCCTTTGGATGGCTTTGTTCTCTTCGATGAGGTATCGTCTGGAAAAGGAATAATAATAATAAAAAAAAGATTGTTGACATCGTTGCTAAAATTAAGTTTTCTGAATATTATATACTATTGTTGTTAATGCAATTTTGTTCTAGACACACGCACATAATATATATACATATGTGCAATAATTTTGTATATGATCTCTATTAATTGAAATAAATTTAGGGTATGGGAGAGAAAACACCAGTTATTTTTTAGTGTGACTGAGATGGTTATAAATGTGGCTAACAAACAGATGTAATACGTAATAAAGCAAGAAACTTGCAGAGGTTGGCAATTAACAACACAACATTATGTCTTGTTATCTAACATCGTGCTTTTTTATCTAACAAGACACAAATAAAATTGTGCCTTCAAATAATTTCAGCACACACATTCTCCTTTACACACAACTGTGGGTGCGATAAGCACCAAACAATTTTATACTACAAGTTATATCTTCTCACAAAGGACAAAGCGGAACAGCAAAGCGCTTAGTACTTAGTAGAAAAAAGAGCTTCCCAGTAGTAGCAGGGATATTTATAAAATATATGCGTATAAATATATTTATGTCTATCTATCTCTCTATATATAGTAAGCCTCCGATTCTCTAACGAATCGAATAAGCGAACGAATGAAACTCGCTACGTTATGAAATACATGGGAATGAGAATGGGTGAATTAAAAATAAATCCAACTTTGAAGTTGTATATACGTTTGAGACTTCGCGATACAATTACATAAATATTAAATAATAAAATAAATTATATTAAACGAAGGTGGATCAATTAAAATATAACTCAAACTTTGCGTACCAATAAGCATCAAAATTAACAAAACATACTCCTGAAATAAATGGAAAGCTTCATGCACTATTTCGGTTAAAAAGTTTCTTAAGCATTAATGCCTATAAAATACACATGCACTTTAAACTAAGTTTAAACTTCGGAGCAGAAAACTTGCACTTGCTGTAACTGAAACGTAATGATAAATTGCAACACAATTGTCGTTTGGGAAAAAATCATCTATGCTTTCATGTTGCAGGAGGGAAAAGGAGAGTCCCTGTGAACATTGATTAGCTAATTGTATCCACGACACATACATTTACTTTTTCTTATATAAGTTACTCAACCAATAAATATATTAATATTTTCAAAATATGCTAAACTCTGACAACATGCGCATAAAAATTCCTTAGACAGCATTCCATAGGATAAAATTTCTTATGTTTTAGCAGGCAGTATCGCTCGATATCTTCATAATATTCATAATACGCAACATCGTCTGTTAGTTTTATGTTGCTGGCTACGAAAAGGCGTAGAATTTTCATTTATATTTCATTTTTCATTTTGTTGTTCTTTTTACCGCTTTGCAAAATTTTTTGATTGAAATGTAATGGCAACGCTAGAAAATATTTTCTTAAGTGTTCTTCTGTAAGCTAACAAATCGTGAATAGCTGTAAAAATAAAATTTTTCATGTAAAGAATGGCAAAGAATTTCAGTGTGCTGTAAACTTCAACAAAAAAAGGTAAGTAAAAAGGTTTTTTTTTACCAAACAGTGTTAGAAAATTACAAATTATAGCATTATCGCATAAGAATTCTTTAGGGAATCAAGCTCGTAATTCTCTTCTGTTTTGAACAAGCATTTTCGTATTAATTCTTTCTGTTGTACTCCAGTGGTTTTTACAGACAAATTGTGACACTTTTTGGTCTTAAATTTAATTTTAAAATACGCGCTATTAAAAGTTGCATGGAGCGAAAGTAATTAATGTTACATGTCTGCATGAATATAGCATTTTGGTGCAAAATCGCGAAAGGGAATACTTGCGAAATACTTGTTCTTAAGGCGATATGCACAATTTCCAACATAACAAAACAAACAACAACTCGGTGGCAAGTAGATTTCATTGATTGATTTTCCGGATAAATAACTGATTAAAACGCAAAATATGTATGTAATTAGACGTATTTAGATGTTAATGCATAAAGACCATAGCAGTCTTGAGGCCAGTGGAACATTCCTTTTATTGCCGACATATGCAGCCACAAATAATTTGGTGAAAAAAATGCGCCTGTTCTTAAAGAGCTGCTTTAGTACTCTATAGGGTCCACCAGCGGCCGAGAGGTAAAGTCGCTGAACACTGGTAGTTCGGTCCGAGTTTCGAATCCCGCGAACGGGCTGGCTGCATGGGCGTTTTCGTGGTTTTCCCCACGTGTAACGTGTATACGAGCCAGTTTCCCTTAAAAAGTCCTCCACGAAAGCATTCTTTCCCTTAAGCAGATAGTTCTCGAGGCTTTGCCATAATCACACAAACTCACACACACAGTACTCTATAGAATTTCGAAAATATCCTCGAAGACGGTTGGAGCAACAGGCGTTAGCCACTTCGCAGTAGCGGAGCGAGAGAGAATGCGACATGTACAAATTGAAGTTACTGGCTGCGACATTAGTGCAATGCAGTGCGCCGCATCATTAACACCATGGATTAATTTTGAAATGGTGCGGTTTACAGAGTTTATTATAACCAGTTACTATTTTTAAGGCAGATAGGTTAAATAACAAAATTTAACAAAATTCTGAAAGCTTTTAGATTTTGTATTACTCTCAAAGTGGCGTTTTTTCATTTACACACACATACATGTTTCGAGAGCATTTGGGCTAATGCCCCTTTGTGCTAAAATATTTAAAAACAGCATATCTTTAGAATCTCCAATCGATACTCTCGTGATACTTCTTGTGATAAGAATAAATTTTATTAACCTTTTATAGTACTTGTGCATTCAATCTATTACGAACCCGTACGCTCGCAACAGTATGTATATATATATGGTTGCGTGTACACACACACATATACATGAGTACATATATACATAGTACATGCACGCATACATACATTTCTGAATCCGATAGAGCGATAAGAGAAAAGTACTTTTTTGTACATAGTTTAAAGTGATGTCACTGTAAAGAGCTGAGAGTAAAGAATGGGACCAGGCAAAGAAATGGAACACTTACTCGCACAGATGGCTTCCAAGTACACTCCAGTGCTATCTCCAGTGTCCAGAAGAGGGAAGGGATTAGGGGTGGCGAAGGTTTCTGCTCCATCAGGGAACATGATATGATCGAGGTGGAAAAGTTTGCAAATGGCCTTTTTCGTTCTTGGATCAGCGCGGAATAGCACAGATCTGCAAACGAATTCTCTTTCCAGAGAGCACTGCTGGAGACATTCTTGCCTTGTATTCACCTAAAAAAAATGAAAAATCCATATTTGCACTTAAATTCCTGAAACATCAAATGTTTTGCAATAAAACTTTAATTATCCGGATTTCAATTGTCTGAAACTGCAATTATCTAGATTGCTTATTGTCCTTTCTAACCAATTATCGTCCAGCTACTTTCTCTAACTTTGCTGTTCAGCTTTTGCACATTCATTACTTATATATAGGAACAAATGTTAAAAATTTATAACATTCTAACTTTCACATTTAAAATTTATATTTCATACATAACATTTAACATCATAAATATTGTAATATTCTACTGAAATTGTGGTTTCATTCCTATTTATTTTTTAGTAACGATTCCTAATTTTATAAACTGAAGGCTTCTGAATTCTCTGAAACAAGTAATTTCCATCCAAAATAGAGTATATTCTCTTTAACTGACTGATATGTATTGGCTCGGTTCATAAATCTACGCTGTGCTTCATTAGGTTGGCAACACTACATTAGAAAGGCCTTCATTTTCGTTATTCAGTGGCTTCTCTTTAGTTTGCATTTTGATTGTTGAGAACAGGATCTTTTATGTTATTTACAGCTCGTTTTAGTCATTTTTAGGTCTATAGTGTGGAGTTTCAAGCAAAGAAAAATGAATACTTCCGACATATATTATTCTTTGTGTTTCATCGAGGATCTAGTGCTTCAGAAGCCACAAGAAGAATTTATGGTGTATACGGGAGTGAAGCATTTGCTAAAAGGACGGCACGGAAATGATTTTCTCGTTACCGAGCAGGAAAATTCGACTTATGTGATGAACCACGTCTGTAAAATTTTCTCATTTTGATGAAAACCTCCTAAATCAGTTGGTTCACGATATTCCTCGCTAAAGAGCGCGGGAATTGGCAGAAATCATGGAATGCGATCACACAATCATTTTTAAGTGACACCACCAATAAACAGCGAATAAATACAACTCGGCTCAGTGCAAGCGAGCTAGCGATCCAACGCCAACCCAATGAAGAATGGCACGGTCTTACACACAGTACTCCCTCTTCTATATCACATTTTTTTTCTTAACATGCGATTATTCATTTCCATTATTATGGAAAACATTCTTCTTAGTTTCAGATTATATTTCTATGCATTAAATTTTTAATTGCATTATTTACATTCAAATTTATTGTAATTATTCAATTTCTGAAACGAATGGCAATTTTTTAACATTCTTCATAATAACACGGAAGAAAATCACAAATTTTAATATTTTCTATACTAATATTTTAAAATACAATTTTTACATTATTTTCTGTAATAATATTCAAAATTATTTCATTTATGTTTCACATTTACCACATTCTCAAAATAATTCAAACTTCTTAGCAATAATTCTTTCTAGCCAAGTAGAATTCAGTTTGTAGCCATTTACGTGTTTTAATGTTTATTAATTTAAATATTATGCAAGAGGATATTTTAATTTCTTTTGCATCAATTAACATTTTCGTAGATTTGATCAGTAAATTTATAATGCCTTTAGCTAATTTTAATTAATTGAAAACAGATTATACGTTTTATTTTAGTCAAATGAAAAATAATTTTTTTTCTTAGGGTAGAAAAATTATAGATAAAACTGTATGTTTATAGTGGTTATAGAACATAAGTATACAAAAAGTAATTTCGTAAAGATAAATAGGTTCTATTTTTAATCTAATGAAAAAGTAACTTCCTTATTTAAATTTAAATAAAAAAGTATGTTCTGTATTTTGTTTTACAAAAATGATAATTTTTATTTAGATAAAATATCATGAATATAAATAAAATTCTCTTAGATAAATTTGAGTAAATACGCATGCAACTTGAAAGGGCAGAAAGACTGTAGAGTCATTAGGGATTTTTTTTATGATGGAGAAGTGAGAAATGTGCAATGGCCTAGCTGAGATTCGAATCTATACCTCTTGAATACGTGTAGAGTATGCTACGGTTACACTACGAAGGCATGCAGAAAAGAGGGAGAAAATACCTTATTTACTTCCCCTTTTAAAGGAGGAGACCCATTCGCTAAACCTTGGTGGTGAAGAATCCTCATCCCCCACCTTTTTACTTCGGGAATTACTATAAGGTTATTCTTGAAGTAGGAAACACGAAAAAAGAGCAGTGACCTTGCCGGGACTTGAACCCTAGAGCCCTCGAATACGCGCCGAGTGTGCTACCGTTATACCACGAAGGCGTGCAGAAAGGAGGGAGAAAATATCTTATTAGACGATTAAATCATCTTGATTATCCAATCATCCAGATGGGATACGACATAGCAACTGACTTTAATACTACTATTCGTGGCATATTTAAAACTGGAGTCACATTTTTCTGAAATCCTGTTTAATGTCAAGAAAATGCTGATTTTTGCAAGTTAATGATTCTGAATACGCTAATGTGCACATTGCCTAAGTAGACTGGCAAGAACTCTTATTTTGTGACTGATTCGGCACGTTAAATCTGAAACAAATCTGGTAATCTGCAAATTGAGTAAATAATGGCTAACAAACTTTTACAGCTAACGAATTTTAACGGTATATATTTAAATTTAAAATTGTGTTTCGCGAAATCTGTAACTGACATTTTGAGATTCTTTTTTATTCGTTTGTATTTTGTGAATTTTTCTACTGCGATTTCATAATGTTTTCATTAACTGCTATTTTATTACTTAATGCACTATATTGTTCGTCCATAAGCGATTTCTGCTTATGAATATACGAATCCTTAAGAAAGCTTTATTCATGAGACTCAGTCATAAGTTCAACTAGTTTACTTTCTGCTTTAGGTAAAAACAAAGATATCGGGCAATACTATATTTAATTGTTAAACAACATATTTACCACACATTTTACTTACCAGAATTTGCTTATCGAGGTAATAATTTAGATCAATGTAATATGTGAGAGATGTCTGCGGCAAGTTGACAGGAGCATATCCATAATTCTTAGGACCACGACAAACCTTGTCAGCTGGAGGAAGAAAAAATATTATTTATTATATTCTGTTATTATATATATATTAGAAGCTGAAGAAATAAAAGAAAATTAAATTTTCAATCTCTTCCTTATTTTAAAATGATATGTTTCTATAATTGTACAGTTCTGTTAATTTTAAATGCAAATAACTTTTGAAGACGATAAAAAATAAAAAAGAAGAGAGAGAGAGTTGCACTTAATAAGAACAACATCGGAAAGGCAGCATCAGAATGATTTTCTTAAGATTCGATATAAAAAATTGCATTACTAAAGAAAAAATATCTTATGTGGACAACACACGACTTCCTAGTATGGCCTATTTAATGATGCACATTTTTTTTTGCTGCACTTCATTTTAACTTGTTTTCTCGAATTCCATTAGAGATATATTTCTAATTCAATCAATTCAGTTACCAGTTAGTAGCAAGGAAAAAAAAAAACGCAAAGAAGCTCAAACTTCATAAAATATTATAAATTGCAGGAAAAAAAAAAAAAAAAAAAAAAACCTAAAACACCAGATACACTTAAAAGGAATTTTTAAAAAAAATTTAATAATTAAAATTAGAGTTTCTATGACAAAATAAGGAATTCAGCCAGCGGACTGGAAGACAAAATTTTCGCTGCACAAAATTGAAATATAACTTTTGCCCACATCAGGCAAAAAGATTCTGAATTTGGTGCACCAACTGACATAGTTAACTATTCTACTAAGAGTTTCAAATGTAAAAAAATCGTGACCTCGTTAGGCTTAGCCACTTAAACTTTAAAGCTTTTAATAATTCTAGAGCTATTGCAAGCAGATTAACTAAAGGTACAAAAACCTTAATGGAAAATAAGAAAAACATTATTCAATCACCTTTAAAGTAAAAAATGTACAATTTACCAACATATAACAACAAAAAGAGCTGAGCTCACTCAGCCGGGTAACAGAAGAGCAATATATGTATATACCAATTAGTACTTAAATTACATAGTTGAGACGCACAACTACATGTCATAGCAGTCCCATATACAAAATTTCAACGTTCTACGGCAACTCGTTTTTGAGTTATGCGAACTACATACGTACGTACATAGATTTTTTTGCGAGAGATTTTTTATTATGTCTGATACATACATACGTATTACATGCGTACGCATGGCACGCGTACTTATGTATGAATCAAACGTCACAAAATAATCTCTTCTAAATCCATTTTAAATCCATTTTACACTCCGTTTTCGAAAAAAGAATTCTTTATTCTGTCCGTACGTACAGATGTCATGCAAAGCATCCTTCATATGAATTCAAGAACGGTCAAAAGGGAAATTTTCGTTCAAATATGATACCCGAAATTTTTCGCGATTACAATATTTTCTTTACTTCGTGCAGGTAAATAAAAAAGGGAAAAGTACGCGAAGAAATACGGTAGATAAGTTTCAGTGTCTCCAGGTAGCGTCATTTTGGGCGATAATATAAAAAAAGTACTCCAGGAAATACGAAATTTTAATTAGGCAGCTCGTGTTATTTCATGGTTCCAGCTGGTAATTAGTAATAACAGAGAAAGAAACGTGAAACACTTTTTATGAACGACAATATAATTATAGATGTACATAGAAACATAAAAAATTAGATACATATTTTAAATTTCATAAATTAGATGATGCGTCATAAATTACATCGGCTGGAGACATTATTGAAAAGTAAAAGAAAAATGCAGATTAATTAGAAATACATACTGTTGCATGCGTACGGGGTCATAGTGGATTGTATTCAAGCGGAACCGTTAATAATTTGCTAAAATCTATTTTCCCAAAAGAAACACTTTAGTGCTCTGGAATTTTCCACAAAAGTACTCGTACAGCTCTTCTCAGTAGGACAGAGCATAATTAGTGGTTAACACTTCAAACTATTAAGAATGCAAAGCAAACCGCAATACAACGCAGTGCAAAGCGCATTTAAAGAGCGAAGCTTGCATGGAGCTCTATACTCTGATGTCATCTTTGAACTAAAAACTGAGAAATTAATGCCTTCCCAGTCTTATATAGTTTTCCGCTAGTCGCCGAGAAATTTTCTGTACCTTTTATTTCTCGAAATTACTGGAAGACATATATATTTACAGAGAGCAAGATACAGCTACAGTAGCATAGGCATTTGGGCCAATTATAGTTGGGACCGGACCAAAATATAATCAAAGAGTAGCCAAGTTTGGCAACTTCTCAATGACATGCTATAAATGAGGAAACTTTTTGTCATTATTAAAACACAAACAATAAATTATTACAATTATGAAATAAAAAAACAACCGAACATCATTCAGAGAATGAAGAAATCGCTTTGAATATTCATGTTCAGAATCTGGATGCAATAACAGTATTGCAACGAGCATTTTATTTGAAGCTAAAATGAAACACGAATATTGCCTATTCGTCATTAAATGTGCTAAAAGGGCAAACTGCGTCACTAAGTGGCCATGATGGCATAATTTAAACCAAATTTTCCTCATTCTTGCCTGCTTCAGACTGCAGCGCATTTAATAAAAATGTAGAGAATCTCTCAATTAATGTTTTTTTTTTTTTTATCATTTTTGTTTTAAAAGAGGACGAAAAAATTCTTTTATAATGAGTAAAAATTTCGAAACATTATTATTCGATAAAATTTAGATTTTGAAATTCGTTGTTGTGACTTATCTCAGTTGTCTGACAGCTCTTCTCAGTCAATATCAAAATAAGCCCACGAAATTCTTCGTGACAAGCAGTGAAAGACTGCGCCTGTCTTTGGCAAAAGCATCATACAGGACAGTGCGACTGTTGTTAGAGTCACTAACCACTATCCCGGTTGGGAGATACTGAAATTTTAAAAGCAAAAACATCAAATAGTCTAAAACATCGAGCAATTTTCAAAAATTCACCTAAAATTCAGAAATTAAGTTAGAGTTCTTCATACAAGTTTCATTGAAAAGATTTTTTCCCTCTGTATTCGATGGGGCAAACAGTAAAATTTTAATATGCTTAGTTTGTTCTAAATTGACTTTTAAACAAATCGCTTCGTTACCTTGTACTGTGATCGACAATCGGTATATGTACAAAATTTGAGCTTAATTGCTTATAAGGTAGTAGGTTAAAATTCGATGACTAAATTCCGCTCACAGTGAAATACCATGAGTGAATTAAATAAGAGCTTATAAAAGGAACGCCAGGTTATGTGGGAAAATGTGAAAGGGGTAAAGAGGCTTTCAGGAAGTCGTAACACGATCGGCATCTATATTTGAAAAGCCAAAAAAGAAATAACACATTTGTTGAGGGAAAACGAAAAGCATAGACGAATCAGAAAACAAAGTTCTTCAAAGATCGGGGAAAAAGATTCAATGAAAGTTGATGATAACCAAACTGCGAATATTTTCATGAATACCTGGAGCTTCAAGGAAATTCAGTCCACCAGCTGAAAAATTCCTTAGCGTAATTTTGACAGACAAAATTCAAAATATTTTTCCAAAATACTCAATAATTAGATGATTTAACGAGTTTTTGCTTATCTAACTTTAAAGTAGACAACAGTTTTGTAATACTCCAAAATGCAGCCAAAATTACAATTTCACACCAACAAACAAAGGTACCTACGTTAAACGAAAAGTACCTACGTTGCAAACAAGCATTCTCAAAGTAGTCCACTCCTTGCGATTCCACCATATGGACGTACACCCCAGGAGAACGCCTGTCGAACTCGCTCAGTCGACATTCCTTGGTGACATAGTTGAATTCCACTGACCGACAGACAAACCGAACCTCAGACAAACAGGCCGAAAGGCAGGCCTCTTTGTTCGAAGTGAAGATGATGGCGTTTTCCAGGCCTCGAAGGCTTTGGTTGGGTACTCTTTCGAAGGACCACAGCCTGCTGCAGACACTTTCTGAAAAAGAAAAAAAGAAAATAATAAGCGTTGGGCATAGATATAATAATGCTTGCATGTTTTAAAACGAAGAATATAAGTAATTTTAATGTTTTTATAACAACGTTAAAAATTGGAATTCTGGCTAGTAAATACTCGTTTCCTTTGTAGCTACGTAGAAACTAATTTTTTGTTTCGTTATGTACTTGAAGATGAGCAGAATCATCCAGACATTTTCATACAATGCTAAAGCTTACAGATTGGAAAACTGCTAGTTTTACTCCAGTTTGAAAAACAGACGAAGATAGACTCTACTAAGATATTTTAAGCATGTTCTATTGCAGCGGTTCTCAACCTTTTGACTAACGCGTAACAAAAATTTAAAAACTTTAGTATTACCACTACAGTTTACAATGATTATTTTTCAAATTCTCAACAGAAATATTTAAAAAATATATTTTGCCATTTGCACAACTTATTGGCTATTTGTATTAAATATGAACACATAAAAAATGTTAGATTAAAAAATTGTTTTCCATTTTAATTATCAAAATTTAAGTTATAATACTTAAATTCTAAAATTTAGTGTTAAATTTGGGTCTGTTTAAGAGAGATCAATTTCTTTATGTCTGGTCTTATTTCACTTAGTTTTAACCGTAAATTAGGATCCACTTTTAATTTTGTTCTGCATTTTTTTTTTCAAATAAAAAATCCTTGTTCACACAAATATTTCGTGCAAAAAAGCAATAAAAATTTAATAGCTTTATTTGAGATGCCTTTAAATTTTTTCTTCGGTTCGTCCAAAAGTTAACGAGTGTGTTATTTTTGAAATCTTCAGTTCAAATTCGATAACAGGAAATTTCTATCAACTGTTCTTTTTCTTAAGGAGGTTTTTGAACTTAATAGTTAAAAATACTTTTTTTTTTTTTTTTTTTTTTTTTTTTGTGTATCACCTATTTTTCTCTTGCTTACCACCAATGGTACGCGTACCACCTGTTGAGAATCGCTGCTCTATTGAAAGTTATTTTTGTAAACTGCATTATTTCTCGAACTTTTAAAATATTTTAACTTATTACTTTTTATCTTTTGATTAAAACTTGTAAAGAAGGAGATAAAAATATGACCTAACTGAAGAAATTATACTCACTTACCTTATTTTTTAAATTCTGTGGTCCAAGCGGTTTACATGCGTGCTTCTGATGTAGTTATTAACTGCCTTCAGAATGAACTATTTTGCGTCAGACGGGGAAGAAAGAGGCGTTTAGAGTACTTTATTTAATAGTACCTTATTTGTTAGTTCAAAACTGTCTCGAAATGGGATTTTCATCGAATTACTATAAATGCTTCGTTTCCTTTTCATTCGACAAAATGTAAGGTATTTAACTTTTAAATGAGAGACCTTAAGCAGAAGACGGAAGAGGAAGAATGACTTTATTTGCTTACATTAGCTGTACACAAGTCACGCGATTTCTGAGGTCATCGGAATACATCTATCTCATTAGATATAAAAAATTAGATCCGATCATTTGAAAAGCTAAGCTAAACATTAAATAAAAAATTACTTAATATTAATTTCTTAGAATTACTTAATATTCATTTCTTAGTTTTGAATCGGATTGATGTATCGGGTCTGTCTGTCGCAAATTTTAAAGCTATGTTGTTCTAAAATATTTTGTGATTTTGCAGTTGAACTAAATTGTATGTGGCGTAAGTGCAAAGAAAGTTATAATTAATAAATAAAGTTAACACGTAAAATGTTAATAATAAAATCATATTAAAAAACGCCTTATAAGCCATTTGACTAAGAAAATTTAACATTGATATGATGAACTGAGAAAAGACTGAGACAAATAGAAACTTTTATGGCAAAACTTAACACTGCATGGGGAATTCTAAACATATGCCGCTTTTAAAATTTTTGTGGTTTTGCTGTTGAACTGTATATGACATAACTGCAAAGAAAATGATGCTTAGTTATAAAGCCGAGAAACAAAAATAAATATGTTAACAGGAGTGAGTGCAACACTAGGGCTCAGCGAGAGCATAAAAAACCTTAACAAACACTTTTGGGTGACCGTTAAAAATCCGTCATTCAGATTTTTATTAATTTTTTTATTTTTCAAGTTTACTTCAAAAAACACTATTTATGAGATAAGCCATACCATCTTATTTATCTATTTTTTCCTTTCTACGTCAAAAAACGACGATACTTATGAGATGACCTGATAGTATTTTATTTATTTTTTCGAAATATACTTCAAGAAACATTAAAGAATGGCATTTCGGTATATATCCAATTTGTTATAGGCCCTGTCCGAAGGCGAAAATTTTGTTTGGTATACATCTGTTTAGACTAAGACTTGAGTTCGGTGAGTCGCGACCGGCACGCATTACACTTGTTAACCTCTTTTGAAATAATGCTACGACTCCCCATGAGGTTACTGTTCAGTAAACAGTTTCCATTGTAACTCAGGATTTTCAAGCAATTTTGTGTTTTTTACCGCAAATATTTATAAATGCATTAACAATTAGTTTCAGTAGACTTTAGCAGTTAATTAAGTTTTGGATTCATATCAAGACATGATACTTACCGGATCTTAAATGTAGTTTCACCATGAAATAGGTATTGACACTTCTTTGTGGCGAGGCTGTAGGCCTGGACGCCTGAGTTTCGTTCTGCAGCTGACATGTTGTTTCTTGGTTAGGTGTGAGGGGGTTGACCACGAAGCTGAAGGCAGCGGCGACGCACTCGGATTCTTCCCTACACCATCCTAAGCATTCGTATAAGGATACGTTCCATACTGTGTAATATACTGTGCCAGCGTAGTCCTGGTTCGTGAGCTTTTCAAAAGTCACTTTACCTGTAACAGGAAATTACAAGAATTTATATTTCTAAAAAGTGAAAGGGAGATGCCCAAACTTTTAATGAAGTGTCAGGGCTGAAATATAAGCTAAATACTATATCAAGTACTAACTTGTGCTAAGCAGGAAACGCGACTAGTTTGCCCAGTTACCAGAGTATTCGAAGAGAAGAAATCGAAAGATTTCTACCTCGAATAGATGTATACTTTTAATATTTTTTTTGTTTGAATTACTTCTGTTTGAATGTTTAGTTTTTAGGATTGGAAATGACATTTCTCTCGTTTTCAAAAGTCTTCAGATTCTTCAAAAGTACTGAAATGGCTAATTAGAATAAGAGGGAAATTTTTCTTATTCATTTTACCTATAGAATAAGTACTATGACTATTTCATCTAAGGAGGAATATTATGAGTCTCTTAATAATCTCCGCATTTTTGATGCAAATATTAATTTTATCAATTATTTTAGTTTAGATTTTAATATGTACTATGTATACGCTTCTTTCATGTTTAAAAAAAATGCATTATTATGTTCATGTTAAACTTCAGATTTTTGATAAAGAAAATAATCTGAAATTTATTGCTCTCTATATAATAATCACAAAAATTATTAGTACTCGTATTAAGTTCCAAATAAAATTTAATATCGTATAGTCGTAAGTACAATTTACTACCATTGGACAAAACAGAATCTTTTAGACTAAAAGGTTTTAATAATTGTTCAGTAATGATGTATGGTCATTATGTTTGTCGGAGAAGGAAAAATATATAATACAATCTCCGGGACTCCAATTTATGACCATCTGATTGCTAGATGGACGTGCTTTGCACTTGCACCACGAATGCACGTGATGAGGAGGGAGAAAAACTTTAAAAAATAAAGGTGCTGAAAAAGTATCATGCCATTACGTCACAGCCGAGAGAAAACTGCTAAATGTTATGCTAATTTATATTATGATTTATCATCATTTAACTACAGAATAATATTTTTATCTGAATTAAAAATTTTATATCTATTTAGTTCTTTGACAGAAACTTGAGAAAAATATTTGATATGATATTGCTATTATCAATGAACAACACTATACATTTCATAAATTAAGAAATTAATGTTTGCTGATTTTGAAATTTGATTCCACAGGTTCTTTAAACTAATCACATGTCGACCGAAACTATATCGCAACTTCTAAAGAAAATCACCTCCCACTGACCACTATTTCTAACAGTAATCAGTATTTTTGAGAGCAGAATTAAGTATCGTATTGAATACAGCGATAGTCTTTGAGGAGACCACTTTCTAAAAAACTAAATTTGTCTAGAATCAGCGAGGTGTTATAAAAATGATTTAGGATCTCTAATATACCCTTTCCTAGTTTGATGTGAAGAAAAAACGAGGTTTTGAGAAATTAAAACAGGAATTTAAGCGCCTTTAAATCCAAGGCCTTGTGAGTCTAGGCAGAAATCATGCCTTAGGATAACCATAAATGCCCGTTTCAGGAAGGCTGTACCGTTTTCAGTAAGATGCTACTGCCACGTCCTTAATAATGTGAACTAAAATTTACATGTGTAGTTCCTATATCGGTGTTTATAAATGGCAGGAGCTTGACAGTTCCTATTTCTGTTTATAGATGGCAGCACTTCAGTAATTCTCATAATTATCCATAGATGGCAGCAGAAGAATGAAGTCCTATTTAAAGTGTCTTCATCGACTGCTTAATTATTTTTGAATAAACAAGGTCGAAAACTTCCCAATGCGTAATGAGTAGCTTGGGGAAGCATACATTTTCTTATAAATGATTGATCAAAATTAATGTAAACTTGGGGAAAATAGTATAAAAAGAAAAATACCAAAATAATAAAAAGTAAATAACCGTTTGAAAAAAAAATTAAAAAAAGAAAAGAAAGAAAAAGATATGTCAGATAGAATATATAGAATCTTCTAAGCTAACATTATTACGCAGTTTCATCACAAGCAGTTATTTTAATTCTGGAGCAAGAATTAGAATAGGAAAGTTTTCGACTGTGTTAGAAACTTAATTTGTTTATTATAGTGCAAAATAAAATATGCTAGAAACTGTTGTTAAGAGGGTTAGCTAAAACGACTTTTTATATGATCATCTTACCTTGCACCGAGCTACGTAAATCACGTTATTGAAAATAATTGAAAGATCATGTTTCAGTCACTGTTTTTTTAATGACAGATAGGTTTTTATCACATACTAAAATCAATAACACCCCTTTGTGGTGTTTATAACATTTTCTTTATTTCTTTATTAATATATATTTAGAAATTTTGCACAGAATTATTTATTGATTAGACGAAATAAGTAATTTTGAAATTAAAATAGTCCATTAAATGGAAGAAAGCAATTATTCTTATATTAATTAATATTAACAGTAATAAAAGTTGTTTGAAAGAACAAATATCTGAACAATAATTAATCCTATTTTAGAAAAGTTTTTTCCCTTCAAAATTTATCGAATTTCACTAATCTTTCTATTTTTATTTTCATTACATTCATTTTTAAAAATATAAGCATGCATGTTCATTAGTATTATTAGTATTATGGAAAGAGACATATAACATATAAAGAACCTATACTTCCCTTTAAGATGAATGATGCGCTACCAAAATATGATTATCTGATCAATTATGCATGTATATGAATTTTATCAAATATATTTTTAATACATTTGATGTTTAAGTTATAAAAATTTCTTAATTATTCTATCAGAAATGTAATCATTTTGAAATTATGTAATAAATTTGATATTATGTAAATGTTTTAATCTGTAGATTTTCCTGATGATGCTTTAGAGAACATTCGTATAACTCAAACGCTTGAAATGAAGCATTTTGGTATTGCATACTTATTCCTTTTTCGTTTAAAATCGTTTTCCTAACCTAGTAGGTTCTACCAGTCTTTAAGACCGTTGAATGCTGGTAGTTTGACCTTCTTTGGATGAAACAATTAACGAAATACTTAGGCTTCATTCAATGGAAAGCTAGCATTTTAGTTCCGTTGAATAGAACCTAAGGTTCAAGATTCAAACCGATGAGAATGGGCTAACTGCGTGGTTGGTTTTCGTAGTTTTTCCCATCTTTAACGTGAATACGAGGCAGTTTTACTTAGAAGGCCCTCGACGAAAGTATCCCTATCCCTGGGCAGATAGCCATCGCGTGCTTTGCCATATTCTAATAACCTAACCTCATATCGTATTAATAATTTAGACTAAATATTAAAATTTTTATACACATAATTGAAATAAAATTTTAAATGTTTTATAAAATGTTGAAAAATTTTAAAATAACAACTATTAATGACTGTTATAAATTGGGAGAAAGTGTTTAAGGATTTTCAATTTAGAGAAGCAAGAAATAGATGATTTTGTCGAGACTTTTTAAGTTTTTTTTTTCTCCTTTATATCGATATTATTATCATTAAGCAAAATTAAACGCTCGATTAAATTTTTTTAGAGAAATGTTTTATGAACTGGAAAAGAATTGTTTTCACATGTGCAGTGAAATGTTTATGTATTTAAAGTTTTTGTTTTCAGCGAAAAACATATTTTACGTCATTTTGCGAAATTCTATTGCTTGAAAAGAATTAGTATTAATTTAGGATAATCAGTTGAGAAAACAAAGAGCAACTGATTTACTGATATAAAGTACAGGGGTTAGACAAAAATATGGAAACACCTTTAAAAAAACATGTTTCTTTGCTTAATATGGTGTAGGAAACCCGTTCGCATCCAAAACAGCTTGCAGTCTTCTCGGAATGGAAAAATACATTTCCTGTATGTTTGCCAAGGGAATATTATACCATTCTTCCTGCAAAACGGTGGCAAGTTCATATAACGATGTTGGCGGTGGATAACGAGAACGCACTTTCCGTTCCAATGTAGACCACAAAGGTTCAATAATATTCAGGTCTGGTGATGTATGGGGCCAGGGGAGATGGGACAACTCATCCTCATGCTCAGAAAACCAGTCCTGGACAATGTGAGCTGTGTGAACAGGGACTTTGTCGTCTTGGAAGACACCATCACCATCGGGGAACAAGGTTTGTACCATGGGATGAACTTGATCGGCCAAAATGTTCACATAAGTCTTCAGTCATGTGCCCTGATAAAGTTATCATGGGGCTAGCAGAGAACCACGATATGGCTGCCCAAACCATAACAGAAACCCCGCCATATTTCACTCTTGGCAACAAGCAGTCTGTATTATAGGCTTGAGATGGCGTTCTCCAGACGTAAACTCGGCCAGAAGTGGGAAACAATGGGAAAGAAGACTCTTCAGACCCTATTACTCGCTTCCACTGCTCTATAGTCCAGGCTTTATGACTTTAACACCACCTTTTCCTGTTGCGGGCATTAGCATCACTGATGAGTGGCTTCTCAATTGCAGCACGGCCGGCAATTCCCTGTTTATGAAGCTCCCTTCTAATTGTTTTGGTACTCACAGGGTTCGGTAACACAACATTCATTTCAGCAGTAACTTTTGCAGCTGTGGTCTTCTTATTTTTCGTCACAATTGCCCTTAATGATCGTCTGTCACGATCACTCAGGACACACTTTCGTATGCGCTGTGATTTAGCAGATGTATTTTTCCGCTTTTCAAATATGCGGAATAAATCTTCAATACAGTACCTCTTGAAACACTAAACACCTCGGGTACCTTGCTTACGGAAGCACCTACCATACGTGCTCCAACAATTTGCCCACGTTCGAAGTCTGTTAACTCTGACATAATGCAATGACAACCTAACATAACAGTACTCCGACAACAACTGAACTGTTTAGCACATTTACGAAGTTGTATAGGTGGCGTCAGTAGTCAAAAACGCCAGCGCCACCTACATATTTCATTAAAATCATTCTTTCTTTTCAAACATGCATTTCACAAGGTGTTTCCATATTTTTGTCCATCCACTGTAATTGCTTTAAATCAGTCCATGCTAAAGTTGATTTTTATCGAACTTTTTAAACCTCGTATTGG